AGACTTTTTCAATGTCCACTTCGAGACTTCGAGTCGCAACGTTGAAGTCTCCGTTGAAATAAACCTTTTCTGACAACCCAAATCTAAAAAAGAAATAAGTAAAAGTATGACAAATCGCTTCAAATTAACACGCGATGAATTCTCGCCTCGGCTTAATGAAGGGTTTAATAGAATGAGTGACACGATCATAGACAGAGGGCTAACAACTGACTTGTAGATTACGAATCCTCAAACGGATATCTCGGCGAACTTGAAAAATCATTGGTCGAATACACAATATCGATGCATTAACAAATGAAAAAAGAAGCACTTCGTTTCGTCTCGTTGGAGATAAAATAAAATCCGGCGTCGTTATAAATACAGTCACGATTAATGGAAACGCTGAGACAGAAAAAAAAAATGAATGAAAGTCTGCGGGTACTGTGTCAGTTCGTCCGGAAAAAAACCATCAATTTCCGTACCGTGAAAAGCACGATTTGGCAGCCGACGCGGAGTCTGCGCGGGAGCACTTTCTCTACAGTCTCAGGCCGACTCTGGCGCGCCACAGTCCTTCGAAGCNCGTTATAAACACAGTCACGATTAATGGAAACGCTGAGACAGAAAAAAAAAATGAATGAAAGTCTGCGGGTACTGTGTCAGTTCGTCCGGAAAAAAACCATCAATTTCCGTACCGTGAAAAGCACGATTTGGCAGCCGACGCGGAGTCTGCGCGGGAGCACTTTCTCTACAGTCTCAGGCCGACTCTGGCGCGCCACAGTCCTTCGAAGCAGCGTGAGCGCCGCCCGTCTACACATTTCCAAGCTTCCATATATTCCATTTTCAATCACACAAATACGTTTTATTGAAATTGATCGTGCACTGAGTGATTTATCTAACTTCGGCCTGTAACGATTTCATGTCGTACATCATCGCGATATTTCGGAAGTTTATGGACTATAGGCGAACGTCCCCTTTGAAGGATCCGTATGAGTGTTGGCTTATATGAAGTGCATTGTTGGAAGTCAACGCCGATGCCAGTGACAATGACCAACACGTGTCTTCACCTGTGACGCGCATGGAAGCCGGCCAAGTCATGACTCTCTGGTATACCGATGTAATGGTAAGCGAACAATTCGTATTCTTGAATTGTTGCCTTTTCGAAATATTTTTATTTTTTAAATACACAGAATATTTCTGTAGCAAGCAATCGGATCAAGGAAAGGATAGCTATTGTTTTAATTTATTTAAAACTTCGATTTTATTTTCTTCAAATCGCTCACTCAAATGCAATTTGAAAAAGAACTAGGCTTACAGAGAAGTTACGCCCAAAAATGGGAAGTCATGTACGCGCCTTTTCTATAAGTAAAAAATTTACGATGTCAAATAGTCATTTTATTTTAGCTGACTATACTTATTTTAGGGTTACGTTAAATATAATATATTAATAAAATAGTAGTAAGAGCAATGGTAATTGTAGTAAACAAGTACTTATATCAAAATGACAAAACTACGAAATTATTATTTAATTAGTTTAAAAGTGAGAGATCTATTAATCTCACTTTAACACGTTGCATTTTAATTTTAGCGTGTAACAATCTATATTCTTTGATAAATATTTCACCAATTACACTAGGTACTGATTTACTTAAGAAACTTTTATGAAACACGCTATCTTCAAAAGTATTCAGTGTTGGCAGTATATTATACTAGCATAGTGTACTAACGAATTTTAAGGCACAATTCCCTTTAAACCGTACACTCGTAAGCTGTCTTAACTGAGAAATCTAATTTATTGTCAAAAGCGTAAGGGTTCATCTCCGCCGTGATCGGCGTGTACGGCCAATTGACCTACAAATGACTCGTCATTATCGATGTGTTCACATATTTGGTGGGTCAATTACTATGTAGTTTCGAAATTGTCTCGTTTGCTTTCTAAGTGAACTCAAAATACGAAATCGGGCGCCTTATCTCGAATTATTATCATTTAATAGAAGCACGTTAAGGTTGACATGATTATTTTTTTCTAGTTAATGGGCTTTCGATGAAAAGACATGATCGCTTTATTTTGCTTTGGTGAGGGAAATAAAAATATTCATCGACATAATAAAAGTAAAATTCTAAACGAAAAAAAAAACATGTAAACACTATCATATTTTTTATTACAAATATTTACAACATCAGAACCTACACTTTAACTCTTGCCACATAACACGAACAGAAATATCTTTAATTTTATTTTCTAAGACTTTTTTCGAAATGCCGACGCTCAGACATCCGACAGACTTTCTTTGACTTCAATTAGTTAATTAACGCATTTCCAGCTAACCTCAGGAGCATCCTCATCACAGAGCCCTGCTAATTGTTAGTTAACATGTTTCCCGCGCTGTATATATTACATCACTGTACCACTTTTGACAAGAGAAATCCAGCATCGTAGACCTGTCTTGTTTAAAATTTTATAATAAACCATAGCTCCTCTTTAGCTGGACGTGTTAAACTTAAGCTATAATAGACGAAATGCTCTCCGAAATTGGCATCGTATTGTCAATTGCATTTGCGGAAACGCGTACCCATCTAGGTCGAGTCGTCGATCCGTTTTGATGTCGTTGTACTTTTTGAAGCTTCTAAATATTCTTATTTCACACTAGATTAGCGCGGATGCAGAATTCACACGAGACCAATATTTTCAGCATTTAAGAGTGCCACGTTAACACGAAATTCAAAAGAAACTGGTTTCAGTCGATAATTCGTATGGAATCAGCGTATATAATTCAATTTTCAATTTAATTGTACTTTCTAAGATTCGGTCAGTCTACATTTATGTAGGATGAGAAGAAAAACTTAACACGCTATTTTTGAACAAAATCATTTCTGCTCCATCCTTAGCCTTCGCCGCTTTCATTCATACTCGATACTTGAACGGCAAACAAGTTACTCTCTCGATAATTAGAATCTGAGCGGATGTAGCCTGATAATTTCCTATAGAATTCTCAATACAAATGCCCCTGGCAATGGGAGGATGTGTCTAGATAGCGGAAGATGCCATACGACGAGAGCTTTCCTACGTGACAGAACGCGAGACCAGGTGGCTTTGCTTATATTTATAGATCGCAATTTATTTGTTGAATCAATACATACGTTAAGGAATATTCTGGATAACGAAGCTCGACATAGACGCTTTAGTCAAAGAATAATTGGCAGAGATTTCGGTTACGCAAAATTCAGAATACGGCTTCGGCTGAAAGATTGGACATTTGTATTGGTGTGACATAAATTCGTCTGTTAACAATTTAACGTGTTTTGTTCGCAAATTCACTTTAGTCTTTGTTGTTTGTGGTATGGGGATACATAAAATATGTAAGCCAAAATCGGGTCGGATGACGAATCGCCTTTAAGTTAACAAGGCAAGAACTACTTAATGAAGCCCATTGTAGACTGATCCATATCCGCGCTGACGTGGTACAGAGTGACACAAATCAAATTTCTTTAGAATTCGTTTTTTTTTGTTGTTTTTAAATCCACTGACATTTAAAGTTGCTCCACTTCAGGGAATGTGGGCCGAACATGTGGGCCTGACGTATGCCCGCGTAACAAGCGATCTGTTACAGTTACACGCAATAAATTAGGGATCATCCATCTTGATTCGTTTTTCTTTGAATATTCATATTTTATCTATCTTCAACACGTAACGTGCACTGTTTGTAACATTTTGCTGGCTATGACCCCGTTGCCTAAATGCACGTTAGCGTTATTTTTAAAAAACAATTGATTCGTAAAGCGCCGTCTAAATTTAAGTCTTTGACACGTACTGATACAATGAACACGGATAGGTACCTACCGAAAGTGAAACTAAAATAGTTACGGATATTATTTTTAATTTGACGGCGACGATAGACGTTTACGAGTGTTTTCTTGTGCACGATTGATGTGTTGTCACTTGCTTCTCAAAACACAATTGAGCGTGAGGAATATTCTGAAACCATCGAGAATGGAAAGCGAATAGCCATAAGCAGTAATTCATTTGATTAATACCGCTTTCGAACGCTATGTAGTTGCTAAACACGAGCGAGTTCGTGCACTTGTCTGAATCATGGTTATTCTTTTCGTAATACCTATAATTAGGGGGGCGAAAGCTGCGAGTCGTTTAGGTATGCTACGTAGCTAACGACCGACTCTGGCCTTATCTCGGACATGTTTCGGACAACGCGATGAAGTCATTATCGCTCAACTGCTCACAAATCACGTGGAACGATCAATCCCAGTGATCCGTAAAATTAGAAATACATGTTGTTATTATCATTCAATTAGGTGAGACTCCCAAAGCAATTCCCGGTTACAATGACAGACAAACGTAAACATCGCTAAATTGCACTTTACGTATTACGTATTTATGTATGTCGAATTATTTTTACAACTGCTCGCGTTAGGCACCGCACTTCTTTAGTATATAGTCCCAAATAACTCTGTTATTAGCTTCACGAAGAGTGTTCTAATCTGTGATCGCAAATTTCATAATTAGCCATTCTAACATTTTTGATGCTGTAGATCAGTTTTAGCAACCTTTTTAATAAAGGGGTCAAAATAAATTTTAGTTTTTTTTGGCGGGTTGCACATTGTTTATCTTTTACTAATAATTTACGAAGCTTTATTTCTTTATTAAAAACAAACAAGAAAAGAACAGAAAACCGAAGTGATGGGAGAAAGTCGATAGATGCAATCTTAGAAAATCTTGGCCGCGTGTTGCTCATCCTTTGTGTGAAATTTGAAATTTGAATCTTCAGGAAAGTAAACGGGTCGGCTAACTGAGAATACGCGTGCGCCCCGGATGCTTCTCGTGCACGGGGTCGCGTTTGAAAGTCGCATTAGATTCGTGTTCTAAACACGAAACGTCTTAAATCATTGTTGCCAACATGCCAGATCGTAAATCGTATGGCCAACCGTGGCGCTTGAATCGTTCACTCCAGACCGTCACTTTAGGCTATTTAAAGTAATCCCTAATTAGATACGTTTATTTGTCGCAGAGTCCCGGTGCTGTGACGGCTGCCAGCGCGGACTCTCAGCAGTCACGCGACGCTCTAGATGTACGCTACTCTTTGGCAGCACTCGCCGACGACTACACGAAGCGTAAACATGTCGTCAGAGTCACTACGGCAGCGGGCGCTGAGCTACTGTTACAGGTACAAAGATCGCTATTTTTTCATATTTTTTTCCTACGTATGCTGATAGCCATGAGAGGCTATTTCAACTTCTCCTTGTCGTGTAGGTGAGCTCACGTAGCTCAAACCGGGAGTGTTGCCAACACTGGCCCTAGCAAGAGCAGTGCTTCGCAGAATCTACCACCGGATCGGAAACGCGACCCACTGAGAAGATCCGGCGAGAAATCTCAGTGGGCTGTGTCTATGGGTTAATTCACTGGTCGAGCCCTTCGTCGCATGCGACGGGTTCGACGAGGACGGTGACCGGATCGCTTTTGTTTTAAAACTTTATCAACGAAATTGTAATAAACGGTGGACTTTCTGTAAATGTGTTTTCTAGGGAAAGTAAACATGGACAACAGACCTCTTAAACTGTCTATTTCGGTCATCGTTTGTAAAAATGGATGTGCTATGAAATTGATGATAATATTATTTTTTTATTACTTAGATGGGTGGACGAGCTCACAGCCCACCTGGTGTTAAGTGGTTACTGGAGCCCATAGACATTTACAACTTAATATGCGCCACCCACCTTGAGATATATGTTCTAAGGTCTAAAGTATAGTTACAACGGCTGCCCCACCCTTCAAACCGAAACGCATTATTGCTTCACAGCAGAAATAGGCGGGACGGTAGTACCTACCAGCGCGGACTAACAAAAAGTCCTACCACCAGTATATCAACGAAATTGTAATAAACATTGGACTTTCTGTAGATGTGTTATCTAGGGTAAAGAAACATAGACAATAGACCTCTTAAACTGCCTATTTCGGTGATGGTTTGTAACCATAGTTGTGCAATGAAATTGATGAACTTAGTTTGATAGAACATGATAAATGTCAAGCATTGGTAATTGTCTTCACAAAATGAGAATCAATTAAAAAAGAGGGTACAAGAAATGGATCTATTACGCGATCAAACACAGATCGTCTTCTCGTATTAAAACTGTATAATCTCAAAACTAACTAAATTTTACAGGAGAGTATTTTAAAGGTTTGACATATGATATTTTTAATATTAATCATCTTTGCAACATTTATTTTTTACTTTTTACCAGTTACATTATCTGTCTTTAAATTACGCTCTTTTGACAGTATATTTTTGAAAATTGTACACTTTTAATGCGAAAAGACGAGATAACAAATTATATTGAATTACCTGAGATTTTCGTTCGAGTAATATATTTCGAATTGAATGATCAAGGCGGAAGGTGCGGCTGACGCTCAACGATGGCTGGCCGCGTTGCGCAGACACTCTGCGGAGCCCCCTCCAGCGGAGACCACGCCTGCCCAGACCACCACTCCAGCACCTGCTTCAACAGTAGCCCCTGCCGACTCCCACTCGCCATTACCACCGCAAAGAAGCAAGAAAATCGGAAGGAATAGGTCACCTACTGGTATGTCCGTTACAATGTTTTTTTATTTATTTTAATATTGTACACGTTTTAATATTCAAGTTGAATGTGAATGTGGATATTTGTGCAATATGTGAATTATGCCTATGTCCAGCATTTCCAACAGTGAACATCTGTGAGCTGATAGAATAGAATAGAATATGTCCAATTCTATCCAATTATTTAAATCCAATTATCAAGGGAACAAACGTGTATTCTTTGTATTAAGTAGATGAGCTCACTGCTTCAAGAGTGAAGTATTTAACTTCTGTTTGACTTAAGACTAAAACAAAATACTATTTATTTTTTATTAAATCAAAATGCTAGGTAGTTTAATAACCTAAAAGTACATATTATTATCCGCAACACGCTTAGTCAGATTATAGAAACAGAGTTATCAGCAAAATGCTTCGTCAAAAAATATAATAATTTCAGCTACAAGCGTCGTCATATACAATACTAAATATACTATACATCATCACCACAGTATAAAACAAAGTCGCTTTCTCTGTCCCTATATCTGTCCCTGTGTATGCTTAAATCTTTAAAACTACGCAACGGATTTTGATGCGGTTTTTTTTAATAGATAGAGTGATTAAAAAGGAAGGTTTATATGTATAATAACATCTATTAAATAGTGGAGAAATCAATAATAAATTACAGTTACCGAAGCGAAGCGAAGGCGGGTCGCTAGTATACTATACAGTACAAAATTGTTTTTAGATTCAAGACGATTTTTGACAATACAGCAACGGAAAATAATCAGGATCGATTTCTGAAATGCAGGCCCACCAACTCCTACCTTGCCGTCTTCGCCGAAGAACAAAACGTGGAAGGGTCGGGTGGCGAAGCAGCTGCGTCGCATGCACGGCGGCAACACGACGAGCAGCCCCCCCGTGAACGTGACCGGCTGGCTCGGGGCGCCACTGGAGCGCTGCCCCTCGGACCCGGAGCACCCGCTGGTGCCGCGCGCTATAACCTTACCGGCACAAGCTGTCGAGGTCAGTCACGCGATCAAATTAAAACGCTTCGAGAATAAATCTATATAAACCACCACTGGGGTTGCCACATTTTTTTGCAGATAATTGGTTAAAAGGGAAAAAAGTACATAGTATCAAAATGAAATACAATTATTTTTTTATTTTATTGTTATGTTTATAAACACATATTCTTTTAGTAAAATTAAACAAGAAATTGTGACAATTAATGATAGTGACATTGTTGAAATTTGAGGTTAAGTTGCGTAAAAATATTTGTTAAAAATACAAATGCTTAGGGAATGAGGCTTTGACGAGTGGCAACATCGATTGAGCAATTGAGGTATTTCGCTTAACGAAAAAATACATATTATGACTAAATTTTTCAAAATCCTAAAGACAATCAAATCATCATCAATCCCAAATCATGCCAAATAAAGTATTTTTGTGTACTTTATTGTTCATATAAAGTACACAAAAAGAGTACAATTACCTGAAATAACGTACAATACCTTATAAAGTACGGGTGGCCCTAACCACTACCCTGATTGTTTCTACCTTGAAGCAGTAATGCGTTTCGGTTTGAAGGGTGAGGTAGCCGTTGTAACTATACTGAGATCTTAGAACTCATATCTCAAGTTGTAATACCTGAATTTTTTTTTATTTTAACGAATCTACCTGTAGGATTAAAAATGATTTTAATAGACCTGGAAATAATTTTTCTTTGCGCATCGAATATGGTTATTGCCTATCATTTATGTACAAAGCAGTTATTGTCGCTTAGTCACGTTTGCCTTTCAAGCCTCGATATGCTTCTGCTCTACAGAGTGATGTAAGATTATCTGACTTTCCGTACAGGCTTACGGTCTGCGCACGGTGGGAGTGTACCGCGTGCCGGGCAACGCGGCGGGCGTGGCGGCGCTGGCGGGCGCTCTGGAGCGTGGCGCGCCGCCCGCCGCCGGGGACCCGCGCTGGGCGGACGTGCACGTCGCCTCCAGCCTGCTCAAGGCTTACCTGCGACGACTACCCGATCCTCTGCTCACTGCACACCTATACCCTGCTTTCATCGGTGAGTCACTACTCGATTTGGCACACCAGCGGAACCTTGTGTGGCGTTAAAGAACGCACCTTTATATGATGCGTAAGCCGGAACGCACGAGAGGTGGGAAAAAGAATATAGTCTGTGACACGGGACCTTTTTACCGCCAAATATTTAAAACGTAAAAATAATTTATAATGTGTTAAATAACTAATATAATACTAATATAATACTTAGAATTGTTTATGCCGCTACAACAATAAAATTTATATTGTTCCAACTGTGGTGTTAATTACATAAAACACGACTTTGCGGCGAAATAAAGAAGGGACTCTATATGAACTCCCTTACTTGTAACAAGAGACCGCAATTACACTGTTGAACGGTCAAAGGACCACTTGAACAATCGGTTTGTTCGTTTGTCGTCTATTTAAGTCTTTTTCCCTTTTTCCTCTTTTTCCTGTTGTCTTGTTTAATTAAGTAGTAATAGTTTTATTTTTCCAACTGGAAAGGCAAAGGTGTCATACCATACCATTTGTTTTATTTTCCCACATTTGTGCACTTTCGCAAATACTAAACAGTTAATAAACGACCGTTATTACACATTTAAACCTGAAGAAACAGGAAATAGACAAAATAAAACAAATCACACAACTTCACTCCTCGCTAAAAAGTCCTTGTTCAGTCGAACGATCGTCTTCGTGTTGTCCAGTCTAGAAAACTCACACTGTCAAGTCCCCGTCTTAGTATAATATATCTAGTTAGTCGTATGTCCTGTTAAAGAGGTTGCACACCACATAGACCTTTATAATATTTTTTTTTCTTTTTTCTTTTTAATGCATGGTATCAGTAGTTATAAATATTTTATAAACAGATATGAGTAGTAGGGTTATTTTGATAATATCCTGAAAAGCACCCCAAGCTTTTTTACAATAAAATCATTTTTTCTTACACTATTTTTAATTCAAAATTATTAAAATTTCTTTTCTATTTTTTAGTTGGATTTTCTACGAGCATAAAAGCGTATTTTGTTAGATTTTTTTAACTATTATTTATTTTTCATTTTTTTTGTTGAATTTCAATTTTTTCAATTATTTTTTTATAACTTTTTTTTAATATTGAATTTTCTTCGATCCTTAATAAGTATACCAAATTTCGAGTTCATCCGACATTTTGAAGGGGGTCAAAATCATGTTCAAAGATTCCGACATACATACATACGTCTGAAGCTAATAAAAGCGTATTCAAAATGCTATCGGTTTTCGTTTATTCGTCGTAGCCATTGCCAAAGGCAAACAACATCGGTTATCAAATAGCTTTATGGCCTCTATGAGACGCACCTATGTAAACAGATTTACGGTTCGTTTTAAACCGGTCCACGCGTTTCAGCCGCCGACCAGTCGCCGGACCGGGCCCGGGAACTGAAGCGGCTCGTGCACGCGCTGCCCGAAGCTCACTACGAAACGCTCAAGTACCTGATCCAGCATTTGCGTAAAGTGGTCGCGCATTCGGAGGTCAACCTGATGGACGCGCGGAACTTGGCCATCATGTTCGGCCCGACGCTCGTGCGCGCCGCCAGCGACGATATGCTCGCCATGGTCAACGACATGTCCAGTCAATGTCGCATCATAGAGTCCTTCTTAACACATGTAAGTGATTAAATCAACAGATCAATATCAGTTTCGGTAACTCTAACCTATCGGATTTGAAAATCGTTGAAACATATTAAAATTTGGCAAGAAACGATTTTTTTTTATACCCAAGCTATCGCCTTGAGAAGCTATTTCAGCGTAACCTTAACTAGTAGGTGAGCTCACGGGGTTCAAACCAGAGTGATGCTAACACTGGCCCTAGCAAGAGCAGTGCTTCGCAGAATCTACCACCGGATCGGAAACGCGACCTACTGAGAAGGTCCAGCGAGAAACTCAGTGGGCTGTGTCTATGCGTTAATTCGCTCGTCGAGCCCTTCGTCGCAAGCGACGGGTTCGACAGGGACGGTGACCGAAACCGATTTTAAACAAAGATGTTATACTTTCAGTACGACTGGTATTTCGAAGAAGAGGAAGGCGACCCCCCAATGGAGCCGCCCCCCTCCGCCGACGAGCTGTCCCCCGCGCCCGCACCCTCCAGAGATTTACTCATACATAATGTTAAGAAAATTGAAGGTACATATATACATTTCCAATATCTTTCACAAATATTCGAGACTATATAATTTAATTTCTTGAAACAAATCTTAGAAAACTGTACTCCCAAATATTTTAAACTTGAGGTGTTTATTCCATTCACATTATACGAAAACCGTGTCAAAGTATACGAGCGAAGTATAACTATTGTTCGTCTACGCTAAAATTAAATATTTGATTATATTCAAGCTCTATAGAGCCCAGTCTACTCGCTAAACTCGTTATTGAAAGCACAGGTCTATTCTTAAGATTACACTGATGTTATTGATTGATGTGACTGATGATAAAAATCAATTATAAAGTTTACCTAACTAAGGAAGAGTGGGATACACGAAATTCTAAACGTCTCCCTATCTCTGTCGCACGCCCGCACCTTAACGTTGGTTATTAAACAAAAAATTTATTTAGGTAAACCTTTAAGTTGTTAGTATGTCCACTCAATAATTAATGGCTTTTGAACTCTTTATCATTTCTAAATGAATCCATAAAATGTTTACATTTAAATTTGGAAGACATAGCGTTTTGTTTTAATAAATGAATCAACCTGCTGTTTGCAGGTAAAGATGTATCCACACGAGACATAGTGTCGTCGATAATTTCGGCCGCCAATCGCAAGATTCAGCGCAAGCCGCGCACGAAGCCCGAGAAGAAGTGGCCCGAGCCGGACAAGAGGAGCGAGGTGTCCCCCGGCGGCTCCCCCCCGCCCTCGCCCCTCGCCTCCCCGCCGCCCCACCTCACTACCTCGCTCGCCGACTACGACGGCTTGCCGCACAACTGCACGGGACAACAAGATAGAGTTAACAAGTAAGTAAAATTGGATACACAAGAAGTCGTCGTGGCCTAAAGGATAAAACCTCCGGTGCATTCGTGTGTATGCACCAGTATTCAAATCCCGCAGGCGGGTACCATTTTTTCTAATGAAATACGTACTTAATAACGGTCCACGGTGAAGGGATAACATCGTGTAATAAAAATGAAACCCGCAAAATTATAATTTGCATAATTACTGGTGGTAGGACCTCTTGTGAGTCCGCGTGGGTAGGTACTACCACCCTACCTATTTCTGCCGTGAAGCAGTAATGCGTTTCGGTTTGAAGGATAGAGCCGCCGTTGTAACTATACTAAGACCTTAGAATTTATATCTCAAGGTAGGTGGAAGCATTTACATTGTAGGTGTTTATGGGCTCCGGTATCCACTTAACACCAAGTGGGCCGTGAGCTCCTCCAACCAACTAACCAATAAAAAAAATGTATACGGTAGCGAATTAGGGATCCATTGATTGTACGGGAAGCGTGCATCAGACCACGACACGTAAATTAGCAACTATAGTATAACCTTAGTAAGAAGTTGCCTGAAGTTTCAAGTTATACCTACTAGTGGTGGCCCAATAGTCGATCATAATAATTGAAATTATTAGTTCGGACATTATTATGGTTCTATTGTCAGACTTTACTTCTGTAATCACACATTTCGCCGGGGCTACACTATAGACAAACAATATTAATCTATAGTCAGTTAGACCTCAAATTTAACAATAAACAAAAGAGTATATGTGCGTGTGTGTCAAATAGATGGTAGTGTGTGTAATATTTTTTTATTGATTTTATGTTTTTTTTTATGCATAATTTAAAAAAAAACAATTCATATTCAGCACTCTTCAATTTCATACTCCTCCGTTCGCGCAATTTCCGTAAAAAGGGGTACAAAGTTTTAGATATATCATAGTTTTGTCATATTTTCATCTTCGTTTTGTCTTTTAGAATTGTGTTGGAGGCGATGAGCACGGTGGGCCGCACTCGCCAGGATCTCTCGCGACATTCGCACGCCCTCACAAACATAACTATAGACGGTACGTATTTAACTTCACATATCGCTTTCTCTTTCACTACTATTAAACGTACGAAACGATGCCATTATTGCCAATTATCGAACGTATTATCTATATCTCTATATATAAAAATTAATTGCTGTTCGTTAGTCTCGCTAAATCTCGAGAACGGCTGGACCGATTTGGCTAATTTTGGTCTTGAATTATTTGTGGAAGTCCAGAGGAGGTTTAAAAGATAGATAAGTATGAAAATGCTCGGAATGAAATAAAAATAACAATTTTGTTTTTCCTTTGATGTGTCCCCCGTTGGACCGATTCCTTTTGTTTGTTTTAAGTTTATTTTATACAAAAGTTGAGGTCTTTTATTTATCGATGGAATAACTACGGCACTACGAAGTCTGCCGGGTCAACTAGTCATAGTTATAATTTTGTCGAATAAAAGTGTCTACTTTGCTCCAATAGGTGTCCAGTACTGACGTCAGAGAGTAGACACAGCAATCCCTTTCTTTTGTCCACACTAAAAGGTATAGGAATGTGTGCGTGCGTTGTTGCAAATGTGTGCGTGTACGCGATCGGCTAACACGCAACTCTGTTATTTGTTTACATGTGGTTTTATTTTTTTACATCATAACAATTTTATTTTCTGAGTGTGGTCATTTAATATATACATTCACGAAATGTCGAATAGATGTGAACAACGAATATTCGATTCGAAACTAACGCTTTGAACCAGCGACCGTCAACAGCACGGTGCGTACCATCCCGCTGTACATACGATCATCTCTCACCCTCATCCTCATCTGAATGTAATCGCGCCGAACTCTCTAACATGAACGCTTATGTCTGTAGTATAGCCGCGTCGTGCACCGGCCAACGACTTAACGTCGCTCTGTTACAGGAACCGGAGACTTGGTGACATCTCTGACCAGCACGTTCGACCAGAAGCTGCGGACTTTGAACAACTCATCGCCGCTGGATGACGGCAGCATTCCGTACGCAGACGAAGGACACGACGAGCCCGAGGGCGAGTCCTCGTCGGAGGGACCGCAGCCTCCCTCCCCCGCCTCCCCCGCGTCTCGCACTCCCGCGCACGAACTGAAGGCGGCCTGGCTCGCGCGCGACCATCGGCACTCCTCCTCCTCGTCCGACGACACCGAGCCGCGCGTGTGGCCCGCGCCGTGCCGCGCCGCGCCCCGCCGCGCCGACCCCGCCGACCGTGACCCCGACGACTCCGAGAAGGAGAACTGCGCCGCGCCCGCCGACCGCGACAAGGACGTGGACACGCGGTCGCAGGCCTCCAGCGGCGGCACGCTGCCCGACAACGATAAGTCCATGGACCGAACGTACAAGCCGTACTCCACGCCGCGGCCGCCGCTCGACTGTGCCAAGCGGAACAGCGCCGCGCTGGACGCCCGCCCCGACCCCGGCCGCGACAACCAGGACGCCGACGGCGTCAAACTCAAACGCTCCGGGTCCCTAAACCGCGACTCCGAAAAGAACGAGGCTCGCGTACTGCGCTCCGAGAGCCTCAACTGCCGCAGCGAACGGCTTCAGCGCTCGGAGTCGCTCAACAAGGGCGAGCGGCTGACCAAATTTGAGAAGGGCGAGTGGAACGTGGTGAAGAGGCGCGAGGGCGGCGCCTGGCGCTCGACCAAGCTGAAACGCAAGAACGGCATGCCGGAGCGCGGCATCAAGCGGCGGCACACCGTGGGCGGCACCAAGGACTTCGACAAGGACGGCTGGAGCGCGCGGCACACGCGCACCTCGTCGCCGGACCTCACGCTGCTGCCGCCGCACCCGCTCGAGTCGCACGTGTGACGTCACGCCGCCCCGACCTAACCGTTCATCGCCACCGATGCGACGTCGCGGAATCTTCATTTCGAGAGAGGCTATTATTTTGATTCGATTCAATTGACTGAATAGATTAGGTCACAATATCTTTACGATATCTGCATAAACATAATACTCAGTCGTGAAATTTCGACGTTTCATATTTCGATTCGACATATTCAAAACTAGGTCTAATCAAATCGTAATAGACGGTGCAAAACGAAAATCTTATATAATGAGTACTTTATCGGTGCAATACAAAGACAAGACACGTAGTTAAAATTATTTTGATTATCAACAATTAGTTGAAATTTCTAAACGAACGTAGCTCACTATACAATGCCAAAGAATGATTAATAAAACCGAGATATTTTTGAGGATTTTGCATGCGCGGAGGGAACGAATCAGTGATCGGAATGCGAGGACTAGGATGATAACAACGTTTGACATCATATCAAGAAAATTTAATCGCCGTATTGTAGCGATCATCGAGACGGCGACACCACGAATATGGACACAAACGTAGTTCCACTCAGAGGCAGGTCGTGTTGGGAACGTTCCCGAAATCGAACACAGGAGACAACGCCCGGACACAAAATAAAATACGGCAGTCGAAAAATTAAATTTCGCGACATAACGTTTACATTACTGGTTCATCACATCGCATATACGGTGCACTTATGCAATTTTCGTTTACACTGAACTGAGCATGTGAAAATATATTTTTTTAATAGTTATTAGTATGACGAGAGAGATTTTTGATTTTACTGATGAAGTTGTAGTTTAAATATTATCATTTTATTTCTATAGCCTAGCAAAACTATAAGAAGCTGTTGAATTTTCCAACGTTTCTCCTGAAAATTACATAATTTGCAAAGTGCAATGATATTTTATATGTAAAAAGAAGCAGATATGTTTCAAGCCCACGTCAAGTGAAGACTCGAAAACAAGCCAATTGGGACGTTTCGTCTTTAGTCGCGTCTAAACAAATACAATAAGATAACAAGTGCAATTGTTCCAATTATAGCTATGTCAACATGTGTGTGCACTATATCGGTAGGTATGTAGATATATATGGCGCGGTCAGATTTGAAGAGTCAGTTACTATGAAGATAACATATCTGTTGTATAAAAAATCATTGCATAAGTGACGTTATTGCACCGTATGTGCGACATGCGAACTGAATAAACAACATTACGTTTAGCAAATCAATATTGTTTTCCGTAACTGCGAGACAGTATTTAACTGGCGTTTCGACTTCGGAAGCGCTCCTCTTGACTCGTTTACAAATAATTTCGTTACGAAATATTCTAACAGTGAATCGAGTGGAACGTGTGATCGGTGCAAAAAAGCATAACACTTTAATGGTACTAGTAATTATTATAATTAAAAAAAACTTTATGTGAGCCCGAAACCGCTAAATACTTGATACGGTATAAAATGACCGGGCTAGTATTGTATAACACCACTTAGTTGTAAGAAATATATTTTTAAGAAATTTATAATAAGTTCTCTTGGAGCTATAAAATAATGGATAAAGCGAAATGAATTTCGTACATCACCTACTTGCCTACGCAACTATATTAGCTGATTTGTATTCTATGCACAATATTAAATGATTGTAACATACATATTTCGATGCTTATAGTTACCGTTACAGTCAGAAAGCTGACGGCGATAGTGTAGAGAAGTCATAAATAAAACTAGAATTATTTATAATGTAATTGTATAACAGAATATTTGTTTTTATTATAAACAAAAATAATGATTCGTGAAAATGTAAATAAATGTAATTGTATTGATGATTATTATTTTAGAAAGTTCAATATAATTATAGCGACATTAATAATTATGTAATCGGTGCGTTATTTCGCACGTTAACACTATCGCAGTGATAATTAAATTAAAGTGATCCTCCTTTGTATAAATTGTACATTTCTTTTACTATTAATTTATATTTGTTATACTAGGCTTTGTTGAATGCAAATATTTTTATCTGTTTTGTTTATTCGAAGGAGTGTTTTAGGCTAAATTCTATTGTTATTTATTGTTTCGAAAAAACTGTGAAAAATTATTTGATCCTTTCTCTTATGATTTTTAAATGTAAATAGTGAAAGTATTGTCGGCATAAAAAAAAACGATGTTTTCGACATTTGGTTCTAACTTTTTTTTTATATAATATATATTTATAAAATTTTATACCATCTTTACGTTAAGACGATCTCAATTTTGTTGAATGTTTGCAAAGCGTTCCTTTTAAAGTTTTATTTGTAAATATATCATTTACTTAAATTGTAGGAACCCTGAATTTACTAATAGTACTGGATCGCGTAGAGTTTGTAAGTTAGTTCGCCCGACAAAAGACAAGTCTCAGTAGAGGCAGACCGCGAGCGTCCGCCTCCGGACTTGTGTCAATCATGAAATAAATTCATAGCCTTCGTATTAACTGTTATGAAATATATTAAGAACACACCTTAAAATACGCTAACGTGAATCGATCCAGATTTACAATATTAATTATCATTGTGTATATTTTGGAGCAATGAAAATAAAAATATTGAATCAATTCACAAGTTTTTTTTTCTTCTACCCTGCCAAAATGAAATTGTGAACCAACTCTTTTTTTTTTTAGTCGAAAAATAACTGAACACACATCCACGACAAGAGCTTTATTGTGAACAAGAAATAATAATTAAATCGCCATCCATACATTTCTCCATAAATTATCTACCTAGCTACACAAAGTTTCCAACAATCATTTCGTCTATTCAAGAGCAAAGTTATAATATTAACGAGTACATTTTACAGGCATAAAAATCAGTTTACACCAACCACATGATAAAATAATTGAAGACATGAGTGGATGAAGGGGATATGATAAAATTTGTTAATTTCGAGAAAACGGGCAACAAACTTTTGTTACTTGTACTTTTTCTTTGTAGATAACTCCCATCACATGCAATTTCTAAAAATAGCCTTCAAACCCGGAGTTTTAAGGTTTAACATAGGCACATAACACCTTCATCCAATGTAAAAACTAAAAAATCTTAAAAATTGTACTCAACCCCTTCATCCACTCATGTCTTCATATAAACAGGAGGGAGGGAGACCTCTGAAAATAATTTAGACTACACAGTAACAATTCATTCATATATTTTTCGTTTTGTTGGTTTTTCATTTATTTTGGGTGATTTAATTATAGCAGCTTAAATAGGCTACGACATTTAAAGTTGTTCTTATAAATCGAACAAAAAAAAACACGTCGCATATAGATTTTAAACAATTGATGCGATGATGGTGATTGATAATTAAAACAAAATATCTTCAGAAATTGTTTAAAATGTTTCCAGTGTTCATTTTTTCCGATTTCATATTGTTGAAACGTGCTATTAACATCATTATAACATCTAATTAAGCTTCACGTCTACTCAGTACGGTATATAACAATAATAATCACACAAATTTGAACTCTTCATTGTACCGGTCTGCTGTTCTTACACAATAAGTACGGGTTAACGGGTTAACCTATGAGTCCCATAGTACAAGGGAATCGTATTGGTCGTAGTTCAAACTATAAAAAATCAGTGAGCGACTTCAAACAGCCTATTAAAATTCTATTGTATTTGTTTATACTTCTTCTATAGTATTATATATTGTAATATTATATTATAGATTATTGTTAATAAATTTTTCATAAACAATAATCTATATATATATTTGACACTAAAACCCAAGTATAGTCACATAACAGATGTCCGTTTAGGGCAGCCACGAAATTAACATTGAACAAAAGGACAAGTCAAGATTCAACAACATCTAATGTCAACATAAAAACGCACACTCTAAAATAAAATCTTTTTAAGAGTATTATCAAAACTTCAATCGTTATTATAATCTTTCGTGAGTATAATGATAGTACTATTTTGTTGTGTAAAAACAGCAGAAACAACACCTTGTAACTAAGTCTGGTCAGCATCCAGATCACTACAAACATTAAAACATTCAACAACTAAAGCCTACTAAATTGAGCCTCTGAAAATATACAGGCAAACATTTACTATCTTATAATATTCGAATCACGAACGATACATACCTGCACAAAATCGGCGATACAAACATTTTCTATTCTGGCAACACTTCTAAAAAGTTTATTTTCTATGTTTCAGCGACTCCTATTAAATATTTTCTACAGTTACATTTGACGCCTTTGCATGTGACGACAGAGGCGGTTAACCATTCAAATAATCGGAAAGTGCAAAAATAACAATAACCTGAATCCTCAAGTATATTGTATTACATTTGACGTATTCACTAACAAATATAAGTTCTGTACTATCATTCCAAAAAAAAAATATTAAAATCATTTTTGATTCAATCAATTAAAAGAATATTTAAAAATAAATAAGCTGAAGATTAAATAAACAAATATATAGTTAGTTTAATATTACTGCATATCAAAGAAAAAAAAAACAATTGGTCACTTTGGTTTTAGAGCCGCTTTACTCGCATCTTCACGACAAATATGTTCAATAGAAATTAATAAATGCAATATGTATTATAATTGAATTTAAATTACAAACAGAGAAGTGCATACCTATAAAATCTGTTAATGTCACTCGAAATCCTCCTAAACGATAATATCAGACCTATTAAACTAATCTAACAACAAAACTAATAAATCCTCGAATAATGTCCAAGCTTTACTATTACAAAAATAATTGAATTAAAATAATTATATAGATTCCTAATATTTAAAGAGATCTTTTATAATCTTGTGTTCTAACTATAAGACTGTCTTTTCGTTCCTACTAATGAAAGCGCAAGATATACTCACTATAGTCTCTTTGCTAGGGATGTTGGTACATTCTTTTTAGTTTTTAAATTAGTCATTAATATTCACATTTGGAATGTCGACTTTAGATATACATATTAAGATGATCATTGCACGTTCATGGCGAAACATCAACCCTCACACGTTGTGGTTGGGAGCTTGTAGGGTTGCCAATGACAAGAGAGGCGGTCGACGAAAAAAAAACGTTAATGATTTTACTTTACTAAATAAACATGTTTAAATAAACTACAAGAAGACATCCAATAAAAATGACATTTATCTGAGTTACTTTTCGAAGCGTTCAGGTAAACGTGAGTAATCAACATCCCTATTATAGATTTATCAAGAAAATTTCTCCCATAGCCGAAACGGTGATAACGAAAAATCGGATTTCGGGAGTCGCTTAAATAATTAACATAATTTTTATGATTTAATCTCACATTTTTATATTAATTAATCGTCATGACCACGAAAATCATACAATTTATTCGTAATTTCGGAAATAATATAATGACAATAAAAAAATACGAGATTAAACTTTAAAAGTGTTTTAAATTAAGTTTAATTTTAGCCATCTTGAGATTTACCGAGCTATGTTTACTTACAGTACAAAACTAACAAAACAAAACAAAATAATCTAGAGATTTGTAATTTACTTATTAATCAGAATTGCAGTATTAAACTGAACTCCATTACACTGTGTCAAATAAAAGGACTCCCAAGTTTTGCACGACATACATTGCTCGCTCGTAAAGTGAAATTGCTAAAACGATAAATACATAGTTAAATAAACAAGACTTTTTCGTTCATTTCCGTTCCGTTTTCCGAAGCGATTTCCTTATTCGCCATATAAATAAAGTTTAATTTCAAATATCTTCTCCTTTTTTGGTGTTGATAAACATTTAAAAAAAAAACTACCCTCTCGTTCAAATATCACCTTGATCATTTTCTGTACTTCGACGAATGACAACAAGAACATATAACGCATAAGACAAAAAAAACCTCCGAGAAGGTTTTAGACGGGAATGTAATAATACTCAGGTACGTGTAACTATTCTCATGAAGACGCTCCATAGTGGATATCGGATTTCACCAACTATCCTAAATATCAATAAGCAACTGCAACTAAATCGCGATGTTTACATTAAACTATTCATTAAACAAGTATTTAAATTCCCTAGTCTGTTTTGTTAACCACAAAAAACCCTTTCAGAGCACCGTAACCGTTATTATGCATAAATATGTACTTTTATTCTGTGACGTCATACGTGTGGTATTTTCGCTCTTATTATTTTTTTCCGATGGATCTACTATAAGTCATTTAACTTTATATACGCATTGATTAATATAGAAAGCAATTATTATTTTAGACTTTAATATTTTTACATCCATAGGTTTTTTATAAAGCAACCTTCTAGTATCATCTTCGGTTTTGCAAGTCGTAAATACAATTAAAACTGTACTAAAAAAAAAGACGGTAGTTATTAAAATTATTAAATGTCAACGAATAACCCCGCAGGTGGGTGACGCGACACGACAACAGAAAACGCAAGATCAAAACCATTAAATTTATTTTAATTATGTTTACCGTCTCTATATGGAACTGGAATTCCGAATATTAATTAAGAAAAAAAAATGTGTTCTCTCAATAATGCAGATGATAAAACTTAATGTAGGTACATTTTAAATTCACTAAGACTTAAGTTTGCAGGAACTTCATTATAATTATAAATGTCATTCAATTAATATTTTGAGACCTATTATGCTACTAAGTGCAATTAATGTTTTTATTATACATTCCAAGTAACTAACTTAATTAAATAAAAAAATAATTATACGTCTTAAGTAAAATGTGTATCTTCGTAATATTTTGTTCCTTCCTAACATATTGGTATAATAAAAAAAAACAATTTACTTGTACTGTAACATTATTATCGATTAGATTTTTCTATAAATGTTCAGAGAATTCGGTGTGTTGTAGAAATAAAGTTAACTTAAAAAATTCGATGCGGAAATATTTACGAACAATGTTAGATTGAATACAAGTAATAATCATTTTTATCGCGAGTATTCATCCATAACTAACGATCACAATCTTCATACGGTACGGGGGTATTCTGTCAGAGATTTGTTAGGAAAAATTCATTGCAATTGCGCCCGAGCACTAATATGTTTTTGGCATACATTGTGATTTTGAAATACGTTTGGGAGATCTTTGTTATACACGCGCAAATTCACAAATCAGTAAATGCGATTACTCCATAATAAACAACCTAAATAATTATAATCCTTGAAACAAATCATTATATAGTTAATTTTGTACTTGTAACTTTTTCGAGTAAAAGTCAACCGTGTCCAAACAATATTTTGCTGATAGTTAACTTATAGTTTACGAAGACAAACGCTTGTATGTACTAGTTACAGAGATTCATAGAAGCTTTTATAAAATGGACGTTCTAGTCGAGAGGTCAATGTCACCTGACGTGGTGTTGTAAGAGAGGTTGTCGAGTTGACTAGTGGTAGTATTCCCTCCGGTACCGCAGCCCGCGCCGGGGCGGGTAGGTGCGTCAGTCCAGGTCGGGGGGCGCGGTGGGGGCGGGGTGCGGGGGCGGCGGCGGGGCGGGGTGCGCGGGGGACCACGGCTGCACGGGCGGGGTGGGGGCGCGCGGCTCCCCCGCCCCCTCGAGCGACAGGCTGTTCAGCAACATGTCGAACAACGTGTCCTGGAACATGTACACACATTCAAACGCTCACACAATTATAATTATATATATATTATTGAATCGGCTGTTGTCATTCACAAGATGCAAATTTCTTAAAGCGATGAGCATTAACGCCAAGCTTAGTGAATTAATACTGTTTTCCATTTACGTTAAGATAACTATCGTTTCGGAATGGAGAACGAGCTCCTTTCTTAAACTACCTACCATTGAATTTATAATATTGGTAAACACAAATCAATTTAATTAATTGTCCAATTCAAACGCGATTTTGTGAACACAAAGATTACGCTTACGATACGTCATATCTTATTAATAAGAACAACACATATCTATATAATACAAATAAAACATTACACAATTTACAAAAATGACAAGTAACGGATAAATGAAAATGGTTTCTTGTCTCTTGATGATTGAGAAAAAAAATTTACATTGTCCACTCATTTTCGTGATCTACCAAACCGTAATGTTTAATGAAAATAAACAACATAATTTACCAAAATGATAGTATAATGGATGATATTATGTTTCAAACAAGGACGTGGGTACATGATAAAAAAAAATACATTCTAGGTGTCCAGTCTACCCACAAAGAAGAGATATACGGAAATAGCTAGCTAGGTACGAGTAAAAATAAATTTAGAATACCGTGAAATGAGGGGAATCGGGACACTTTTTAAGTTCGACATTGATTTTTATCTATATTTTTTTTCGTAGTTATAGTAATAAAACGGAGATCATAATGGTTCCGGTAATTTAAATTTTCATTTACTACATTAAGATATAGTTTATTTAATAATAATTATAAAAAGTTACCAGAACTCACTTATCCCTATTCACCCAGGCGTGGGTGAATCGGGACGCTTACGGGAACAATAGTTTTTCGATAGGGCTGGCACTATTTAGTTGTTACCTTATTTTAAATTACAAAACTTTGATGACTAAATTAAACTATTTAATATTCTTAAACACTAAATAAAAGTTATTTTCATTTCAACAAAGTTAAATCTACTATCAACAAAAGCATTGTGACATCCCAGATTTGTCCATATTCTACCTCTAGTCCCTATTCCCCCCAATCTACTGTACACGTTTTATACCAACAAAACTTTACATTGCTCAAAACATGTAAAAATCTCATGCGAGTCTAAGTCTTACCGACCACCGCCCAAGCCATCAATGGAACAACAGAAATACGGGAGAATTATAAGAAGGCGTTCCGCATATCCGTATCGGTCATGTTATATTTACGTTGCAATCCAAAATGAATTCGACCTCGTCATTGTCGCTGACGGAGGACACGGAGGGCCAGTAGTCGTGCAGCGCCAGGTCGGGGACGGGCGACACCGCGCCGCGCTCCGGCGTGCCGGGAGGGGTCGGCCCGTAGTTCAGGTTGGCTGTTGTATTGAGCACTAATGAGTATTTCACGACAAACAACACATATTAGCTACTCTAGGCGCGCGAGTTCATGTCCATCCTGAGGAATGCGGTAGTGCTGTGACCTAATTTTTTTATTATTTTTTTATAGCTTTGATGGGTTGACGAGCTCACAGCCCACCTGGTGTTAAGTGGTTACTGGAGCCCATAGACATCTACGACGTAAATGCGCCACCCACCTTGAGATATAAGTTCTAAGGTCTCAAGTATAGTTACTACGGCTACCCCACCCTTCAAACCGAAACGCATTACTGCTTCACGACAGAAATAGACAGGGCGGTGTGTTGCGTCTATTTCTTAGAGGTATCTTGGGGTGGCCAAGAAAATGAATAAATACGTTTTTCAAATAATCATTATATTATTTTTAATTGTTTTACAAAATAGAATTGACATGCGCGTCCATCTTTTTTCTTCGTGTAACAAAAAAAAATTAAAATTTTGACAATTGGTGCCACTATTGCGTTTCCTGTTTTGTGATTGGTTCGTGCGATATGACGTCATCGTTGGCCAATCACAGCCATCAATGTATGACGCGACGTTGATTCGTTAACACGTTGGTACTCGTGCGGACTAACAAGAGGTCCTACCACTAGTACATTAACCAGCTTGTTAATTTTTTTATTTATTACTTAGATGGTGGACGAGCTCACAGCCCACCTGGTGTAAAGTGATTACTGAAGCCCGTAGACATGTACAACGTAAATGCGCCACCCACCTTGAGATATAAGTTCTAAGATCTCAGTATAGTTACACGACTGCCCCACCCTAATTATAAAATTGATTACCACTTTTTCCATATTTTTTTTATCGTTCGGCTCGCTACTCTTTTCCTTTTTAGTTTTGAGCTTATAATAACTTTTTTTTATTTTAACTACACATTCATTCTTCTAATCTGCGTATACATTAACTAATCGAATTTAATTTAAAAATAAACTTTTGTTGATAATTTTTTCATCTCGGCCATTTTCGCGCTGCTTATTCAATTCAGTGGAAATTTTGTATTTTTATTGTTTTTTGGATATTTCTTTTGTAACAGTACCACTAATGAAAGGCAGGTGGTGCGCGAGTAGTTTCATAAAATTGTTCAGCATGTGATATTTCGCGTGAGTTGTTGCCAAGTGCTTAGGTTGTAACAAAATGTTTCACGGTCACTCGGACTGAGTTGATATTATAGTAATTAATAGAAGTTAAATTACCAGGACGTCTGTGGCGCAGTTGTCCGGGGGAAAGGGGTGTGCGCCGTGGTCGGTGCGAGGCGGGATGGTTGAGGGGGGTGGCGGGGTGCAGCGGGGTGCCTCGCCGCGGGGGGCGGGGGGCGTGAGCGCCGCGGCTGAGAATCCCCGCGGAGCTCTGACCGTTCCAATTGCGTTTCGGACCTGGAATTTTTAAGAAAATTATAAATGTATTTGATTATTATATTTAATTTAATTTGGATGTTGTACATTAATATATAAGACCTATCCTTTTTCGTTCAGTCCACGGAAGCAAGAGATAATATTATTAAGGACACATAAGAACTTCATTTTTTGGAAACAGTAGGGCCAACCAACCCGCGACACGAGATCCAAGTCCCAAATATAATGTCTGGCGACATGTCTGGTTTTTGTAAACATAGAAAGTGAAATGATAATTTTATTCACAAACTAGCTGTACCCGTCCGCTTCGCTGGGCATTTAAAATTAACATTATTATTTCTCAACCCCACAAAGATTCTCATCATTAACGCACCCGCAACTGGTGTAGGGAGTTCAACACTCATATAAATATTAACCTATCCATTAAGTACATGTACCTAGTCAGGTCATAAATTCTGTCACATGTTTAATGTAAAATAATTGAAAGAAGTTTATTCATTATGTAACCATTCATATACCAAAATGAACTTAACAAAACATAGATTCTTATGACACTAAAGTTTATTCAAAATGACCTCCGTGATTTTGAATACAGGCCTTCAATCTGCGCGACCAGTCGTCTATCGCAGCACGAACGAGGTCCATGTCAATATCGGCGGCTGCCTTAATCAAGGATGTCTTGAGTGACTCCAAATNTTTTTTTTTTTTTTTTGTAGCTTTGATGGGTTGACGAGCGACGGGTGTTAAGTGGTTACTGAAGCCCATAGACATCTACGACGTAAATGCGCCACCCACCTTGAGATATAAGTTCTAAGGTCTCAAGTATAGTTTCTACGGCTACCCCACCCTTCAAACCGAAACGCATTACTGCTTAACGACAGAAATAGACAGGGCGGTGTGTTGCGTCTATTTCTTAGAGGTATCTTAGGGTGGCCAAGAAAATGAATAAATACGTTAACTTTTTCAAATACTCATTATATTATTTTTAATTGTTTTACAAAATAGAATTGACATGCGCGTCCATCTTTTTTCTTCGTGTAACAAAAAAAAATTTAAATTTTGACAATTGTTGCCACTATTGCGTTTCCTGTTTTGTGATTGGTTCGGGCGATATGACGTCATCGTTGGCCAATCACAGCCATCAATGTATGACGCGACGTTGATTCGTTAACACGCTGGTACTCGTGCGGACTAACAAGAGGTCCTAGCACTAGTACATTAACCAGCTTGTTAATTTTTTTATTTATTACTTAGATGGTGGACGAGCTCACAGCCCACCTGGTGTAAAGTGATTACTGAAGCCCGTAGACATGTACAACGTAAATGCGCCACCCACCTTGAGATATAAGTTCTAAGATCTCAGTATAGTTACAACGGCTGCCCCACCCTAATTATAAAATTGATTACCACTTTTTTCATATATTTTTTATCGTTCGGCTCGCTACTCTTTTCCTTTTTAGTTTTGAGCTTATAATAACTTTTTTTTATTTTAACTACACATTCACTCTTCTAATCTGCGTATACATTAACTAATCGAATTTAATTTAAAAATAAACTTTTGTTTATGATTTTTTCATCTCGGCCATTTTCGCGCTGCTTATTCAATTCAGTGGAAATTTTGTATTTTTATTGTTTTTTGGATATTTCTTTTGTAACAGTACCACTAATGAAAGGCAGGTGGCGCGCGAGTAGTTTCATAAAATTGTTCAGCATGTGATATTTCGCCTGAGTTGTTGCCAAGTGCTTAGGTTGTAACAAAATGTTTCACGGTCACTCGGACTGAGTTGATATTATAGTAATTAATAGAAGTTAAATTACCAGGACGTCTGTGGCGCAGTTGTCCGGGGGAAAGAGGTGTGCGCCGCGGTCGGTGCGAGGCGGGATGGTTGAGGGGGGTGGCGGGGTGCAGCGGGGTGCCTCGCCGCGGGGGGCGGGGGGCGTGAGCGCCGCGGCTGAGAATCCCCGCGGAGCTCTGACCGTTCCAATTGCGTTTCGGACCTGGATTTTTTAAGAAAATTATAAATGTATTTGATTATTATATTTAATTTCATTTGGATGTTGTACATTAATATATAAGACCTATCCTTTTTCGTTCAGTCCACGGAAGCAAGAGATAATATTATTAAGGACACATAAGAACTTCATTTTTTGGAAACAGTAGGGCCAACCAACCCGCGACACGAGATCCAAGTCCCAAATATAATGTCTGGCGACATGTCTGGTTTTTGTAAACATAGAAAGTGAAATGATAATTTTATTCACAAACTAGCTGTACCCGTCCGCTTCGCTGGGCATTTAAAATTAACATTATTATTTCTCAACCCCACAAAGATTCTCATCATTAACGCCCCCGCAACTGGTGTAGGGAGTTCAACACTCATATAAATATTAACCTATCCATTAAGTACATGTATTTTCTACATGGATACCCAGTTTCAAGTCAATCGGATACAGTTCGGTAGTTATAACGGAGCATCCGTAAAAACCACTGTAGATTTATATATTAGTATAGATTAACGGCCGTTTGGTTTAGTGGTAAGTGATATGGTCACTACACAAGGGGGTCGCGGGTTCGAATCCCGCCAAGGGAAGATATTTGTATGAAAAATATCTTTTCCAGGGTTTAGTCTTTTCCAGAGTTATGGATGTATATTAAATATATGTATGTGTATAATAAAAATCTTATATTGACTTCCGTTATCTGGTACCTGTACCAGTTAACGTGGGTGATTGTTAGATTTTTTTTTTATCACGTCGTACATCTTTCAATGAAATCACATAGCATCTAAGCCAAACAAAGGACCATTGATAGTAAGGAGCGAGGCTGACCGTTCTTGGCGGAGGGTTTCGGCGTGAGTCCGTTGATCCGCATGAGGTTGAGCAGCAGCATGTCTGTGTGCGCGGCCGTGGACAGCTGCGGGTCGGCGTCGTGGTGCGCGGCGGCCGACAGCGCGGCGCGGTCCGGGCCCGCCTCCGCGCACAGCAGCCGCGACAGGATGTCGGAGCCGTCCCGCGAGCTGTACCCGCAGGCGCCCTCTATGTCGTTCTCGCCTGTGCCATTACGTTACTTCACTTATACAGGGTGCTCTAAAACGTGATTCAATATTTTTGGAACGATGTGGAAGTGTAACCTAACCGGGAAAAAACGTCCGTAACGTAAGATTTTTATTAGTAATGCACACAGTGTACGATTTAACTTTGTAATAACATACAAAAAAATACATAATTTTTTATCATTCATTGACCACGATCTCAGAGCGTTCGTTTGCGCAATACACTAACTCTTATGCAAACAACCGTGAATGAAGTGTACCACAATAAGTTCGCACGTTACCCAATGACCGTGGGTTGTTGCGAAACCTCCAGTTTTATTTTCTTTATACCTCGAATAGAACTTACAATCAACATTTTTATAATAAGGAACTTCGTTCCTATTCGGTGTTCCACGACACCACACATCTTTTTTTTCTACCTGAGCTGATGTAGACTGTAATAGGTGAGCTCGCAGGGCTCAAACCTGACGACGTTGCTAACCCTAGCAAGAGCAGTACTTCGCAGAATCTACCACCGGATCAGAAACGCGACCCACTGAGAAGATCCGGCGAGAAACTCAGTGGGCTGTGTCTATGGGTTAATTTACTACGACGACCGGTGTGATTCACGTCGGTAACATTTAAACATCTGTAACCAACACATAACTGTATTACATCGAACTAAAATTGTAATTCTATCGACGAAAATACACTAAAGTTTTATAATTTACAGATATTTCGCGTATAAGACACACAACTAAAAATCAATAGTTAAAATATTAATAACCTTTCAAACAAAACAAACATTAGCTATGGCTAAATCACTATAATTATAATACTTTTTTTTTAAATGCATATCTCGTGAACTAAAAAAACATTTTAGAAACGAATAATTAAAAAGAAGAAATTTACGAATTTATAACAGCAGCGTTCCATTTCTATGTAGTTCTAATTAATGCCTTGCTGTACTTTTGTGTTAATGTACTTATAACTACCGTCTGTTTCCATTTTTACTTTAAAATATTATTAAGCAATCATCTAATGCGTTATTCGTCAGTATTTTTCTAAATGATTAAATTCAAGATCCAATCCACTACATAAAACATTTAAAAAAGTACTTACTCCTCGAGTGTTTTTAAAATAATTATTGAAAAGTTAAATATGTGTGTGTATTCTTTATTGAAATACTAAATACAAACAAAATAGAAATGTTTTACGAAAATAACAAAAATACTCTAATAACAAACCAGTCTTATTTTAGAATCATGTCATATCTGTATTAGACAAAACTATGAAATTTACGAAAACTCATTAGAAAAGTCTTGTGAAAAGCGAAGATTATTTTTTACATTTTTTATACGCACGTAGAGGGCGCTTCAGTTTGTATCAAAATTACTGTAAAAATTATGTTTAAAAAACAAATTTTATTGATTGTCATGTGTGACGTGAGGACAGTTGTGTTCGGGATGAGGATAGGGATGTGCGCGGGAGCGGACGCGAGAGCGGGAGCGGGAGCGGTGGCGGGGGCGGTAGTGGGCGGCCTCGCAGTACAGTACGCACTGTTCGTCGCACCACGAGCACCCGCTGCCGGACGACCCATCTGTGCCATGCAATCATAGGAAGGGATATCAAAGGATAGCTTTTTCGAAGTCCAAACCTCTTTGGACACGATGAGGTTTAACGACGCTGTAGCTATTTCTATCCCTCTCTCACAATAGTCAACTAAGTACAACTTGGATCACACACCGTTGCAAAAGGTAAGTGTAAATAAAGTATTGTTTTTCAGACATATTAATAATTACTATCTCAAAACGATAGATAAAACCTATAAATATATTTTCATGTAAAGTAAATACCAACCACAACAAGTTATATATTTGTGTATATGGCATGGCATTAGCTCGTCCTTTAGATGAGCCTCAAAGTCATTCACGTGTACGTGTACACTTGCGTTCAGTCGAGTTATGCAGTTTGCGCATTTTTACTCTGCTCTACTCGTGGATAAAGCATAGTCCGTGTGACGTCACGCAACCACGAGCAAGTAGTCTAGACGTGCAGATCATCACTCAACAACACCTTCAGCTATCGCTCAGAAATAGGTAAAGCTACCAGTACCCAATTTCCAAAAGGTGACCTTAATATTTTTTCAGAGAACAACGCATTAGATGACGCCCGCAGTAAGTACACTATGCGCGCGAGTTCATGTCCATCGGGGCCAGAGGTGACGCGCGGGGGCAGCTCGCCCCGCCTCCGCTCGCCTTCCCGCGTTTGTCTGACGTCTAGTGTTGTCTTTGGCAATTGTGACGCGCGCTTATCGATACCGAAAATTTACGCTAACGCTATTGTGTTATTTAACCATGACTACTCCGCTTCCAACAAGTTCAGATAGAAAAAAACCTACTGAAAAAAGATACATACTGATTCCGACTCTGATCTGTCGGTTGTCTTTTCATTCGATAGTGATTGAATTGGAATTCAAAAAATATTCTATTCGAAATAAACAATTACTTATCACATTTATTTTATTTCATAAATTGCAAAATTACCTTAAGTTACACTAAACCAAATTGACAGCTGTTGACTAAATCGGTAGTTATTATCGACATTACCATAATTAATTAGGTCACAGCATTCCTCAGGATGGACATGAACTCGCGCGCCTACTGTACTTATATGAATGCTAAGTTATACGATATCGAGTTGTGAAAGTGATGTAGCTCACCCGACATGGTCTCGTCGTCAACGTCATTCTCTTCGTTCGAGTTCTCGTCGACATGAACGGTGTGGGTCTCGTCGGCAAATACCTCTAATTCGCTGAACATCAACTCCTGCAATGTAGATAACTACAAAAAATTAACTCACTGTGTTTAAAGGACAACGGTTTTTCTTTATATTTTGGCTTCGGCACGGTTTGTGCATTAGCCAGTGTCAATTAATAAGATTTTAATAATTCACTGTTTTAATCATTTACCGTTTATGAATAATAAAAAACGAAGGAAACTGTCCATGTTAGCCATTATTAATATTAGCGTAAGTATGTATTAAATTAGGCGCCTGAGACGGTATAGATAAATTAGGTTGAGAAAGTAATTTGATTACTGTAGTAATTAACTCAGTAAATGATAATATGAAGTTAAATGAAATGAGATGAGATGATATGGGATGAAATATAATCTCAGTAAAATGGTGGTCATTTACTGAGAATATAGGAAAAAGTTGGAAGCTTTAGGCAAACAAACCGTTATACGGGCTGTGTTATAGAATAAAGAGGCGCTTAGGTTATTTGATGGGCAGCGACTTGGCTATGCCCCTGACATTGCTGACGTCCATGGGCAACGTTAACCACTCACCAACAGGTGAACTGTATGTTCGCTGTTTACAAAAGCAATATAAAAGTTTCTGTTGTGAATTAATATATTTTTTTATTGCTTAGATTGTTGGACGATCTCACGGCCCGCCTAGTGTTAAGTGGTTATTAGAGCCCATGGACATATACAACGTAAATACGCCACCCATCTTGGGATATAAGTTCTAAGGTCTCAGTATAGATACAACGGCTGCCCCACCCTTCAAACCGAAACGCATTACTGCTTCACGGCAGAAATAGGCAGGGTGGTGGTACCTACCCGTGCGGACTCACAAGAGGTCCTACCACCAGTAATTACGCAAATTATAATTTTGCGGGTTTGATTTTTATTACACGATGTTATTCCTTCACCGTGGAAGTCAATCGTGAACATTTGTTAAGTATGTATTTCATTAGAAAAATTGGTACCCGCCTGCGGGATTCGAACATCGTTGCATCGCTACATACGAATGCACCGGACGTCTTATCCTTTAGGCCACGACCACTTCTATAAACGTCTATAGAGTTTGTGCTATAGACACCCTGTATGAGTGCGGTTATTAGTTACCCCGGTGTCGCTGCTGGACTCGGAAGCGGCGTGCGCACCGCGGGCCGGGTTGCGGTTGTCGCACTCCGTTTCGCCTTCAGTCTTGGCTCGACCGCTGTGGGAGGCACACGCGGCTTCCGCGCTGGGAGCCGCCGCGTTCAACTCCGGCGACGACATCGAGGAGCACAGCAACACGTTCGAGGCCGATTGACTTATTTCGGTTGCTGGACTGCTGGCCACGGCTGCAAATTATTTTCATATAAGTTTTTATCAGTATATCTCTATCGGGTATTGCTATCAAATTTTTACTAGCAAGAATTTTTTTTACCGATACTAAACTGTTTTTTTTCTTCCTACCTGCTACTACTAGTAGCCTCTTGGGGCCGTATAAATTTCTACTTCCTATCAACAACTAAAATCCAATATTACATATAACAGAGACAGCTTAAATAGAAAAATCAGAGGGATCTCAGCACTTTAAGTATTTTACAAAGAGGTTAAGGTACTAAGAGGATGTGTACCAGTCAATGTGGAATCCTTAGCTGGAACCTGTTTGTCGGTGCGTGGCATTTTGTTGGGCAGCTTGTTGGGCGCGCGGCTGGGCGTGTTGGCGGCGCTGAGCAGCGTGTGCAAGCTCACCAGCGCCATGTTGTCCGCGCCGGATACATGAAGGGAGTTTGCTGAACTGAAAAACATTATTGTTAAAAATCCGGTCACCGTCCTAGTCGGACCCGTCGCATGTGAAGGGCTCGACGAGTAAATTAACCCACAGACACAGCCCACTGAGTTTCTCGTCGGAATTTATAGAAATATTTCATTGCGTGAATTGAATAAGAACTTTATTCGAGCCCTACACCTCAGGAGAGAGTAATAGGAAAAAAGAAGAAATGAGCGATAGCAATACTTTTTTTTCTGTTTTAACATCTGTTTGTTTCTTCTTATTATGTTTGGAAGCATACTCTAAGATTTCACTAATAACAATATTTATGCTAGAGTTTTATATTGAAACGTACCGTGAGGTAGAAGGTAGATTATAAGGGGCGAGCAAAGTGTGAGGTTGCGCCATTCGTCTCGTGTCCATAGACTGAGCGTAGTCTCCGAAGCCGAAGGCACTGGCCGATTGACTAGACACTTCATTATTACGGCTGTCCTCAGCGAACATGGCTGTGTTTAGGATATCTGTAACAGAGCGAAACGTTGATATTATAATAAGAAAAAGATTGTGTGGTTTTATGAAACCACGGTAAAAGTGAAACTTTTTTTCACATTATAGACATTTAACTCTGACAAACAACATTTACATTAAACACTGACAAAAACAAACAAAATAGCGTGGAGCACTGGAACAAATGAGTAATAGTCTACTACACGATCAGCTGCTGCGAACTATAGGCGCCGCCATATTGGTCTTGGCTGCTCTGACGAGCGCCTTTCAATTTATCCCTACTCCACGACCGACCGTCACGCGACATGCAACACACAGACAAAAAAGATTGAGACGATGTAATAAAAGTTTCACTTTAATTTAATTAATAGCCCGATATTTATTATGATCACAAGGACCCTTTCTAAAATATCGACTAAAGTTTTAAGTGGGTTTCATGAATACTAATATCAGCATGTTGCTCACCGTTAGACATTCTCGTATTGTTGAGAGCGCCGTGCTGGCCGCATTGCTTCCACAACACTAAGACATCATTGACAGAGTTACCGTCGACGGGGTTGTTCTGCGCGGGGTTGTCGGCCTCGTTGGGGCCGGCGTTGGACTGCGAACTGCTCGTGCCCGTCGTGACAACGCGAGTGGCCGCCAGTGAGTTCCGCGACATCTCCAACGAGAGGCGCTGTGGGGAGGAGTTTCACTTGAAGCGCATCTGCATATGTGCGCTTAATGATACGCATCGCGATGGTATTCTGTACGCGCTCATACTACGGTCTGACGTGAGATATTACGGAAATTTTGAATCTTTCTAAATAGCGTGGAAGTTGTTCGAAAAGTTTAATGGCGAAAAATGAACACCTCCCCTAGAGCTGTACCACAATTAAAGACTGTGCCACAGAGACTGATGACTACACCGGCATCAGAGCTATTAGGTCCGGACTAGGGTACTTTCATCCTGCTTATTCTTGCCACGCGGCAAACTTGCGTTTAATCCTCTACACTTTCAAACCAATGCACTCACGACTAAGCCAATTTTCGTCTTTCTGATAACCTTTGATATACGTAAGAATAAAACGAAAAATGCTTTTCTCTCGTGGCAACATAATTGATTCATTTCAAATACACAGAGTTATCGTAACTATACTTAAATAATATGTAGTACAATGTAAGACATGAAATAGACAATTAATAATACATTTGTATTCTTGAAAGGGGAACTAACCTCTTTGAGATCATTGATCTGCAGTACGTGTTGATTCTGCATTGTAATCAGTTGGTTTATGTACCACTGCTGGTCGCGGCAACGTTGATAGAACGTAGGCGGACGTACTTGGAACCTGTTACAATCATCACTTGAACTACGTATAGTCGTAGCGAGCAACGAGTTATTCCGTCTATAAAATTATCTGAAATCTGCATACAATTGTAGGCAGCGGCTTGGCTCTGCCCCTGGCATTGCTGAAGTCCTTGAGCGACGGTAACCACTCACCATCAGGTGGGTCGTATGCACGTCTGCCTACAAGGGTAATAGAAATGTTAAAGGTCGCCCGTGAGAACTGAACCCGGACTGTGATTATATACGTTGTGTTCGGATCTTGAGTTGTCTTTTTACGATACACAGACATTGTCTTGGTTAGACCAAAATAAAAATGGCAAATAGACTGCATTACCCCGTTATTATTGAGTTAATCTGAGAACTGTGTTATGTGATCAATTTTAAACTCTAAACATGAGGAACATTATCGCATTGAGCCCACAATGAGTGACCAATAGTGTAGTAATAGTCCGCTCCGAAATATATATTTTTTATAATAAACTTACCTCAATATTAAGGTATCGGTTTCTGGGTTCAAGTACCCCTCGCTGGCCAACAGATCAAGTCTGAAGAAACGATTGTAGCCCCAACATTCGCCGACTTCAAAGTCGGACGCGAATTCCCTTACAATGTTCTTGGAGGGGTCGCGCGACACTTGGTGCAACATTTCCACTCGATACTCATACCTATTCGAGAAATTTCCACAGTTTACAACAATAAACCCAAAATTATTAAAATTGGAGACGAAGAGTGGATGAAGGAGTTAAGTACCAATTTTAAGTTTTTTTTTAGTTGTTTACATTGAATGCAGGTGTTATGTGCCTATAAACCATATTAGACCTTAAAACTCCGGGTTTAAAAGCGATTTTTAGAAATTGCATGTGATTAAGGAGTTATGTATGAAGAAAAGGTACAAGTAACTTTGTTGCCCGTTTAATTGTAAAATTAACAAATTGTATCTTATTATCCCCTTCATCCACTCATGTCTTCAATTATTGTATTCTAAAAACGTATTAGAACAAATTCACATTTATTATATTACAATAATTCCAATAAGTTTTCTAGTTGTTTCCGGCGATACTTTTTAAGCGTTTCATTACTTATGCTTAAAATAAATTTACTATTATTTTTTTTACTTATAAACAATTTAAAAAAACAAAGAAAAAGCAGTACATATATCTGTACAACATTCAGAAATTTCAAGACAGTCACAATCTATTTGCATTTTAGGGAGAACAAAAAACGATTAATGATTTCCTTATTAAAAAATAAAGCAACATGAGGGATGATTAGATAAAAAAAAAACAATAAGATAATAATAAAATAGTAAGATGAGCAATAAGATGAAAAAAAGTTTAGAGGTAAAGCCGCCATTGACTTGCCAACATGTACAATAGCGCTTATGCAAAAATCAACTTTGGATTGATCAGTGTTTAGCTTTAACTTACCTCTTGCCTACTCTTAACTTAGCAGTGCTTGGAATAATCAAAATACAGGGTTAACATTATTAAATTATTTTGTTATAATCTATAATATTTTGTTTGGTGCATCACATTCGTGCTGCGATTGTGTGGCATCAAAAACACTACGTGTGAAATATTCAGATAAAACCACTGGTACTATAATCATGGCCTTAATATTAATATCTATATCACCCACAGCATATATATATATATTATCACATTTACTGGAATTACTGAAGAGCTTTCTTCGACTAAAGTTGAAAAAAACGATTTTTTTTTGGTAAAACTACTAAAACCAGCACAGATGAAATGATTCAAACATTCTTAGAACCATTAGTACTCGAAATAGGAATAAGTGGGAGAGTTAAGTAGGAAAATAAAATCCTGACTACTCCCACCTTCATGGAACAAATTCACACAAGCACGAGGCCTGTTTGTATGTCGGTGCCTTCTAATTAATTGCGACACAGACATTATCTGGTTGTACTAAGCGTATTGTGAGCTCCCACAGTTTTTGGAACAACTATATTTTGTGCCGGTGCGGTGCTATTCAGTCATCTGCGCCATTCCAGTTTAAAGAGGACAAAACAATTAAAACTTCAACCTGATGTGAAACTGGATGTCTATAGGATAGCCTTTAGTAAACACTTAATTTCAGGTCAGCTCAACGGCATATCGACAGCAGCACAAGAGTTTACATATAAGATCTTACTGTCATAAGTATCTTGAACTGTTAGGAAATTACTATCATAATTTTAAACTTACTTTGAAGTCTCTGGCAATCCGGCACTGAGCTCCAAGAATACGGAGAGATAGTTCCCTCGAACTACACCATTGCCATCTGGGTACACCTTCAGCCTCCAACATAGACCGTTGACGTGTAATGGGGCCGAGTAGACGGGCGCGGCCGCGTGTTGGAGCTGAGTGAAGTTTGCTAGCGGGAAAGTGCTGCTGTCGTAACTCGGAACGATTTCACTATCAAGAAAATATCTCAATTTACTTTTCTTTACTAAAACTTTCAACGGAAATCTACTCATGCTGAAACGTTCTGGAAGTTTTTAACTAAATAATTAATCAATTACATTAAGTTGTGCCTATTTTGGTTGTGTGGGAGGCATCTTAGATCCTCCTAAAATTCAACAGATATTTTCTGTTATTGATAAACATCCTCTGAAAATGAGGATCGTCTGCAACACCTAGAGTGTTCAATATTTAGTCTGTAGCCTAAACCCTTGCCTGATTTAAAAACTTTAATTATATATTACATTACTTGAGTAAGTTTCATTACAATTATTTAGTGTTCTGAACATGAGAAATTTATTTTTACTCATACTAGTTGAGAATAATTTGGATCTTGCCTGTGAAAATCAGCCGGTACGGGGGCAGTGACAAAACTAGCCATTGGCTTCTTTCGCACTTGATGTATCATCTTTGATAGATCACCACTCCGTGCTATCAGCTCTGATCTAAAAAAAATAAAAATTAACAATCAATGTTTATTTATATATATAAATAAAAAACTCCACAATTAAATTTCTTTCCTTGGATGATTCTTCTACACCTGATGGTTGTCTGAAAAGGACCTCTTTTAGTGATAAGTCCGCGCGGGTAGGTACCACCAACCTGCCTATTTCTGCCGTGAAGCAGTAATGGGTTTCGGATTGAAGTGTGGGGCAGACATTGTAACAATACTCGAGACATTACAACTTATATCTCAAGGTGGGTGGCGCATTTACGTCATAGATATCTATGGGCTCCAGGAACTTAACACCAAGTGGGCTGTGAGCTCGTTCACCCATCTTTTTTTTTATTGCTTAGCTTTTTTATTTTCCTAAGCTATAAAAAAATAAAAAATAAACCTTTTTATTATAATTGACCAAAGACAAATTTATGGCTTACCATGTCACAAGGGGTTAATGTCACTTATGGACATTGGGACTAGTGGTAACATAAGTTAAGCCNGGCTCCAGGAACTTAACACCAAGTGGGCTGTGAGCTCGTTCACCCATCTTTTTTTTTATTGCTTAGCTTTTTTATTTTCCTAAGCTATAAAAAAATAAAAAATAAACCTTTTTATTATAATTGACCAAAGACAAATTTATGGCTTACCATGTCACAAGGGGTTAATGTCACTTATGGACATTGGGACTAGTGGTAACATAAGTTAAGCCAATACCTAATGGTAAAAGTTCTACAAAGTTCCATTAAAAAAGGACATAGTGAACATAGTCATGGAGAAGAAAACACAGAGTAATAACATTTTCCTTACAACTCTCAGAACATCATTAGGCCACTTTCAATTTGATTTTTAAACTCTCATGATCATACAAACAAATGATTATGAAGTAGGTTTTTGAATAATAAGGTTACCATAGGTTTGAAAATAATAGAGAAAAAAATATTTTTTTGTTAAAATTTATATAGCTTTCTTCCTTTAGAAAATAGTATATTTTGAATCAACAGCTTAAAAATTGGTTATGATACCTTGTACTAGTATGTAGTTGATGTTCAATCTCCTGTAGCAAATGTTCAAGCTGCTCCGTCTCCTGAGTGAGACTATTCTTCTGTCCCATTAAAGTAAGCAGTTTAGCCTTCAGTGCAGAATCCAATCTGGAGATCATCAGCTCAACGGCATTGCGAATTTCGCGCACTCGTTCATCTTTTGCTGCTCTCACTGATTCTACGTTGCGTTCCTAAACAAGGTTTTGTATTGAAATGTTTATTGATCTACAAGATCTATTTGTTGTTGTTTTTGTGTACTTGTTTCCTGCACACCTATCATATGAGAAAAGAGATAAGGTTGCAATCAGGTGAAAATTTTATGTTTATCCTTATGTATCCATGGGCCTAATATCCATGGGCACATTAATCATGACGACACACACAAAGATTTTTTATTTTTTTTATTACTTTATGGTTGAACGAGCTCGCAGCCCACCTGGTGTTAAGTGGTTACTGGAGCCCATAGATATTTACGACGTAAATGCGCTACCCACCTCGAGATATAAGTTCTAAGGTCTCAAGTATAGTTACAACAGCTGCCCCACCCTTCAAACCGAAACGCATTACTGCTTCATGGCAGAAATAGGCAGGGTGGTGGTACCCACCCGTGTGGACTCACAAGAGGTCCTACCACCAGATTTTCATTTCATAAAAACTTTAATGAATCAAGGTTGCAAAATTATATAAAAAGACTACTGTTTCCATCGTGGCAATATTAATATTTATATTCAGTATACATATAATAATATGATGATACAATGAATTTAACAATATATTGCCCTATACTAAATATGCAGCTAATTAATAATGGTGTATCTTTGGGCATTAACATTTGATATCATTAAATGTACTTACAACATCCTGGACAAGGCTAATTAGCTCCATAAGCCTTCTCCGCAGTTGAGTGACTTCATCACGTATCTGAGTAACATGTTGCTCATATACCTCTTCCAGCGGTTTGAAGGTGTGCCCCGAATGGGTGCCACCCCAGAGAGCGCACTGATGACATATACAGCGACGACACGTCCAGCAATAGACAGTAAGTTTTTCTTGATGATTAGGGCATCTGTAAGTTGTTTACTCAGTTTTAAAAATTGTTTTTTAGACAATATGACATAGTAAATAGCCAATTTATTGTTTTTTTTTTGACCAATTTACCTATCACGATAATTCTCACGGTGGCTGGCGGTGTTAGTTTGTTGCATGGTCTCTATTTGCTGAGTGACCTCTTCAACCCAGCGACAATTCACCAACTCATGTAGGTGTAGTGCAGCTCGACAGTGAGGACATTGGGAGCGTTGCTCCGTCAACCAACGCCGCACACAAGCATAACAACACAACTTTGAGCAGTGTGGACACAGATGTGCATCCACCAGCTTCTCCATACAGATGAAGCAGCGGAACACTTCAGCTAACGTCTGGAATAATTGTAGCATATGATTACTCTCTAACTATCCATTTACTTGTTAAACAAAATGTAGGCCACATCGATTTACCTCCACAATTTGCTCCTCGCCATTTCCATTCCCTTTGTCTCCCCGCGAGGCCATATTTGAACTACACTTCACTTGATACAATATTGGCGATTAATCTACCATAATTTAGATTGTTTGCATTCCTAAATTAAAATGCAAGTCTCTCATATCGCAAGACAAGAGAATCAAATCGAATACACGCAAAACGAGACTCACTTCCGCGTTCGGAATTCAAAAGTAGGTAGAATTAAATAAAAATGAAATTGGTAAAGTCAAAAATAATAACAACATTAAAGCTTGCCATGTTTTGGTTCTAATTTCCCGTCATGATTTATGCAAGTGTAGTGTTCGCTCACGCGGCCCGCGCCAACTTAAAATCACTCCAAATTATTCAATCTCGTTTTTGCAGGATAGCCGTCGGAGCCCCGTGGTTCGTCAGGAACGTCAACCTCTAACCTGGACTTAGAGTCCATCAGTAAGTATCTACAGTCGGCATCGACGCGCTACTTCGACAAAGCGGCACGACACGAGAACCCTTTCATCGTGGCTGCCGGTAACTACATTCCCGTTCCTGCGGACAGAATGGAAAGCAGTCGACGTCGCCCAAAACACGTCATTTAGGATCCTCCCGATCCACTAACAGTGCTTTTAGGTACCTCAAGCATCGGTCATCGTTCTCGTCGAACTAGTCTCTTGCGACGAAGGGCTCGACGAGTAAATTAACCTTCAGACACAGCCCACTGAGTTTCTCGCCGGATCTTCGCAGGGGGTCGCGTTTCAGATCCGGTGGTAGTTCTGCGAAGCATGGCTCTTGTTAGGGTTCGTGTTAGAAACGTCGTCAGGTTTGAGCCCCGTGAGCTCACCTACGAGGGATGACAGAGGGAGAGCTCTTCCCTTTCCGATACGTCGGCGTCGCCATCGAGCCGGGGGTCGGAGAAGAGAATAAGGACATACGTCCCAGCCCTTTATGAAGTGGCTTCCCCCGTTGAAGGTGACGGGGCGACCTAAGGGAGTTGAGGCTGCGCCAGCACTAGTACGGGGTCGAGAAAAAACACAAACAAAGCAACATATGTCAGTAAAGCGCGTCCCCGACCCGGCAGGGTAGTTCTGGTCCAGACGTCTTTGGGGTGAGCTGCGCTGTCTGGTTGTAGTGTTGACCACGGTAACCCCTTAACTGACCCGGCTTCTGACCTCGGGGGGATCGGACGCTGAGGAAAAAGTGCAGGGAAGTCGGAAAAAGTGCAGGGAAGTCGCTTAGTGGGTAAGGTCCTAAATTTCATTCTTGGGCCCCCAGTTCGCTCTCGCGGACTAGTACCAGATACTTCGAGTGATTTTTGAATACGAGTGAACTGACGCGGAACTAACGCTGCAGAAACAGCTCGCAATGTTGCGTTTGGAGAGGGGACTAATGAAGGAGCCGTGTGATTTTGGTTTAAACGCTTTCGCGATGGAAATTTTGAAGAACGAACCACGTGGAAAACTGCCCACACATGTGAATAGCAATGAATTTAAAGAGATGGTGGACGCCGATCCGAGCCAAACTACCCAGGAATTAGCGGCATGGTTTAACGTTACCTTACCAATACTTACTAATACTCATTTGCGTCAAATCAATAAAATAAATAAATATGAAAAATCGGTGCCTCATGATTTGACTGATCTGCAGAAAGAAACGCGTGTTGAAACTTGTGTTACCTTATTGAATCGATACAGATATGAAGGAATATTGGATCGAGTTGTGACATGTGATGAAGAGTGAATTATTTACTATAAGCATCAACGAAAAATGCAATGGCTGACCCCAGGTCAAACGCCGCAACAGTGTCCTAAAGCAAAGCTTACCAATAAGCTAGGTAGCTGTTTGATGGTCTCAGCATGGTGTTATTCACTACCTATAGCTTTCTCCGATCCGGTCAAGTCATAACGGCAGATGTCTACTGTGCCGAACTCCGAACAATGATAGCAAAACTTGCAGTGAAACAGTCCCGACTCATGAATCGATCTTCGCTGTTATTGTTCCATGATAACGCGAGACCTCATACAGCACGAGAAACCCCGTTAACTCTACAGGAACTGCAATTAGAAACCATTCGTCACCCTCCGTATTCGCCAAACCTTGCTCCAACGAACTACCATTTTTTTTCGTGATTTGGACAATTTTCTACGTGATAAAATGTTTTCTTTCCAGGAGGCAGTGCAAAATGCTTTCGCACAGTTTGTAGAATCTAGATCACCAGAGTTCTATCGCAAAGGCATAAATGACCTTCCTATTATTATTATTTTCCCTACCTATGCTGATAACCTTGAGAGGCTATATAAGCTTCTCCTTGACGTGTAGGTGAGCTCACGGGGCTCAAACGGGGTGTGTTGCTAACACTGGCCCTAACAAGAGCAGTGCTTCGTAGAATCTTCCACCGGATCGGAAGCACGACCCACTGAGAAGATCCGACGAGAAACTCAGTGGGCTAATGACCTTACTATTAGATGCCAGCAATGTATAAATAATATGGGAGATATTTTGATTTTATAAATATGTATGTTAAATGAAAAAAAAAACGAACGAGGCACTGCCTCAAACAACAGGCAGGTTTTCAAAACAATGTTTGGTTGGCACGTTTCATCTTTCAAGAAATTTAGCTAAAGCTTACGTAAATGATTTTGAATGGGTAGTTGAAATGGGAAGTTTAATGTTGTAATTTTATTTCAGAAACTAAGCAAACAAATGCAAATACTAAAGTATTTTCGTCACTATAGAGTCACTTATTTTAAGAAACTATAGAGCTTAATACCCGTTTTATTTATTTTCTTTGGCTAAAGCTTTTCTACTTTACGGAAAAATACATAGAGTAAAGAAAATAGACCTAAGTACCCACCTTCCTGTTTAAGCTGCGACTTTCGTGACACATTTCACAAATTCTGACTTTTTGGCGGGAATGCGAGAAGTGAAATTGTGTGATTTGTTTTATTATGTCTATTTAGTGTTTCTTCAGGTTTAAATGTGTAATAATAGTGGTTTATTAACTGTTTAATATCTGTGAAAGTGCACAAACGTGGGAAAATGAAACAAAACCGCTGGAAGTAACTTCTCAAGATCCTCCAAAAAGTCCACTGAAAAAATCTCAGTAAATGACCACCATTTTACTGAGATTATATTTCATCCCATATCATATCATTTTATTTCACTCTTTCTTCTCAATCTTGTCACTCTTGACAGAGCGGTCGTGATCGTCGTGTAGTGTTGGAAGGAGCAAACTTGATGCGTCTCACGATGTCGCGCCGTCTCTCCCTGCTCGATATCATTTTTCATAAAAATAAGATTATATGACTCAAAGGTCTTAGTTACCAGGTCATAAAATCCCTTAGAAAAACCACTTGCTTCGCATTCGTGAAATACCTACACTGAGGACTGAGAGTTCAAAAATATTTGAGATTTTGGCAACACCGATTTGAACGTCCTTTAGTCAAGTCCTTTGCCTTCGTTACGAAAGTAACCTAAAATGTATTCATTTTATATTCAAAGAACATAATCGTGTTGTTGTGCATTACACTAGACCTGATTCTTTTGGAATAAATAATAGTATTTAATAACTGTCAAGTAAGTTCCGTTTAAATTACACGAACATTTAAGGTTCATTTTGCATAATAATATTTATAAAACTGCACGACTTTAGTGTTTAAAATAAATTATTTCCTAAAAAATCCCTATAAAACTGTCCTTACAGTTTTAATATATTACAGAAAGATGACAAAATAACTCAAAAGAGGTGAATAATTCACAAAACAGTTCAAGTATTTCCATTCAACTAAAATTTATTCCTTTCAGAATGTTGAGCTAGGCGGATAAATTTGATTATGTCATATTTAAAGGTGATACACTGTACCTTGTGCCTGAAACATGGATACGTGGGAGTTTACTCGAAACCAGTTTTATTTAAAATTACTGTAAGTTATTACATGCTTATTAAGGACATTGATAACATTAAACCCCTAATAATCTAATATAATAAAATAATCTGTTCTATTATAATAGAATACTACTATATTCAATATTTATTTGAGTCCTTTATCCCTCGTCAAATGAAGCTTGTGGAGAGACTTAATGGTAGGCAGCAGCTTAGCTCTGCCCCTGGCATTGCTGAAGTCCATGGGCTACGGTATCCGCTCATCATCAAGTGAGCTGTGGGTCTGCCTAAAAAGGCTATTAAAGAAGTTACAAGTGTGTGTTAAATTGTGTTCACTTATAAATCTTATCTCAAAAACAAGACACTGATTGTACGGTCTGGTATCTTGCAGTTGCGTTTAGATTACAGGTTTATTGAAAATAAACTTTAAATATTATGGTATAAAAGATTAGCAAAATTTATTTATAACTGTCTTGAGTTTGGAAAAAAAAATATATTTTATTTTATTTTTATTGCACAGATGGACGGACGAGCTCACAGCCCACCTGGTGCTGAGTGGTGACGGGACCCCATAGACATCTATAACGTAAATGCTACCACCCCTCTTGAATATGAGTTCTAAGGTCTCAGTATTACTGTTTCTATATTTTGTACAGTGTTTACCATGAGAGGTGCTATAATAAATTGTTTTAAAACGATCACCTCCAATCTCTATTTTAACAACTACCATACAGAACCGCTACATGAATCCACAGTTCCTTTTCTGCAGCACACCATCCTGCTCTGGAATGAAGTTCCCTCCATAGTTTTTCCTGAGCATCGAAGCAGTAACTATTAAGACCTGAATCAATAACCTCAGCTAGCCCCTGGCATCACTCTTATTGTTCTGCAACAGGTCCACTAGTTATCAGATGGGCTGTCTGTCTTTGAAACAAATAAAGAAAACCACATAAATTTTTTTTGGTGATTACAAATTAACTCCACTTGATTAATATCATCCATTATTATTTATCATCAAAGTACCATACATTTGATAGAGAAATTAAAAAAAAATTTTTCAGAATAACACACTCTTCCAGCATCTTGCCAGAATATCAACAGCACAAAACTGGAGAAGTAAAGTGCCACTTAAAACTCAGACAACTGCAACGGTAAAGAATAAAGTCACCCAAGACACCAGAGTATGGAAGGAAACACCATCATATGACAGGAAGAGCAATACGGGACAGTATTGTTTGATGCTATCTAAATCACGGTTAACATGTGAGTATGAAAATCGAGAATCCAGACTTTATTTGTATAATCGTAAGAGATCATTCACTATAAAAATTACACCTCATCAATTTGTTGAAATACTAATGTTGCTATTAATACATTTTGTTGTATACCATATAAAAAATAAACTCACTCTCTCTTGGTAAATTGGCCATATGTACATATTATATGTAAAGTACAACAGAAATAGAATCATTTAATTCCAAAAGTTGATTTCCGAATGTTTAATTTAAACATTTGATTGCGGACTAATCATGTGAAATAATTAGTACAATCTAACAAAACAAAAAATTTCAGCATTAGTTGTGTTGACGTCTATGGCAGGATACGCACTAGCACCTGCCCCGTTTCAACTTACTACCTTTGCATTCTGCGCTGTGGGTACTGGTCTAGTATCAGCTGCAGCAAACTCTATTAATCAGTATCATGAAGTACCATTTGATGCCCAAATGTCGAGGACAAAGAACAGGGTGCTTGTCAAAGGTCTATTAGAGTAAGTATGCAAAAAGTAATATGTTACGAATAGAATAGTAAATAAAAGACATTGCTATTTTAAAACATTTAATTCAAGAATGTAGGAAATTTTGCTCTCCAATGTTGTTCATACTACATATTATGCATTGAACTTATTGAGGAAATGTAATTAAATATAATAAGTACATTAAAGAAATAATCAAAGAGAACCAATAACTCTGTGTGGATACTTTGTCCTTTTGCTACTGTTCATAATTATAGAATGTAAATTACAATCTTCTGTGTGAAAGAGAAAAAAAAATAGTAATAAAATAATATTATTGACTCAGTATTATGTATCACTTGCATACAATTTTTTTATAAGGACACATACATATTTTTCAACAGTAACTTGGCTTCTTTATTATCTCTATAAGCAATAATTGGAGCAAAATAAAACATAAGAATCTTGGCATCAACAAACATGAAACATAGCCAAAAATACTTATATTCCGAATGATTAGGAAATGCTAGTCATTGTAAATAAAAGTCCTAAAATAAATTTAGTATTTTTAGTACAATCTAAACAATAAAAAAGTAATATTAAATTAAAATTTAAAAACATATGAATATTAAATTTTAGCAACTAAGAGACTAAACTACTTTTTTTCCCTACCTTTTAGTCACTGAGAAGATCCAGCCAGGAACTCAGTGGGTTGTGTCTATGTGACCAAACTACCAGTAGTGATTTTTTTTATTGCGTTTTTGGGTGCTCACGGCCTGCTTTATGTTATGTGGTTACTGGAGCCCATAAACATCTACAACGTAAATGCCGCCACCTACATTTAGACATGAGTTCTAAGGTCTCAGTTTTTACAATATACCGGCTGCCCCACCCTTCAAACTGAATCACAATACTGCTTCATGGCAGAAATAGCCAGGGTGGTGGTACCTATCCATGCGAACTCCCAAGATGTTCGCCCACAAGAAAACATTTATATTGTATTTCATTATAAAAAATTAAGATTGTTCATCTGTTTATAATCCAAACAAAAAAACAATATGATGATCTCTGCTGACATGCAACATAATTATCAATTTGAATTTATGCATAGTTCCTCTTTGTTTCCTGATGAATCCAACTGATCTACTTTAAAGTGGTATCAGACATTACTAATTCTATTGGTGGTAGCTGCTAAAGCACTGGTCAGTATACCCATTGAAGAATTTAACTTAACACTTAACTGAATTTATTAGTTCACAAAATGTATCGCTGGATCTGCTTAGGGGGTCAGGTCACCAATCCAGCAGTATATACTTGAACTGTTGTATTGTTTATGAGTGTTCAGGCAGTTGTTAGCAAACCCCCTCCCGGAGAAGCCACTCAGTTCATCCATCAGAAATTACAAAATAACACTTATCAGTAGCTAAAACGTTATCTTGAGTTCATTCTCTAAATGAAACTGTAATCTTAAGATCGTACTTACACGAAATATAGAAGACACATAAATTCAATATAAATTGCTACATATTACTGCAAAATTTTGTAAGTACTACAACATTAATATAATGTATTTTAGTTCATTTTGTTTAGTTCTGTTATGTCAGCACCCAAATATAATGGTTAACTTAACTTGTATACTCTAATGGTGTTTTTGTTTTCAGGCCCGTCCATGCAATAGGTTTTGCAGCATTGACAAGCAGCGTAGGCCTTGGCGTTTTGTATTTTGGGGTCAACCCCTTGACAGCTGCACTAGGAGCAGGAAACCTCATCCTCTACACCTCAGTGTACACTCCAATGAAAAGAATGTCCATACTTAACACCTGGCTTGGCTCTGTAGGTAATACCACTGTAAATGTATTCAGTAATATTTTCGTGTTTAATTATGTACCTAATGCACGCCTTATGCGATTTGACTTGCATTAAATTTGGTAATATGAATCAGCACCGATTCTATTGTTATATCTCTGGTTCCCGTCATTGTAGTGAAATATAATAGTTTTAAGGTTTTATGCTTTTATAAAAAAACTTAATTTTATTTACTATAGAAATCATTGTGCCTATTTCTGTACAGTGAAAATTTTCGATGTGTTTAATGGGTAGTGCAGATATTGAGACTGACTTCAACTGGCAAGGCAAGGGGGTTTTTGAACAGCAACCCAAGTTTAGTTCATCTGCTTGAACATTGCACTGAAAACACGAAGCTTGAAAAAAAACTCGACTCATTTGTTTTCGTGTGATAGTTGATTAAATAAGTAGGCAAGCAGACAGAAAATCAGTGATTTTAGTAAAATATGTGGATAATGCTTAAAAAAAATTTTTATAATATATTATAGAGGATGTAAGTTTTATGATAGTAAAGACAGTAAATAATAAGGGGTATATTGTCGATATATACACCAAGATAAGGTAATGATGTGGTTGTCTATAAAATATTAGTGTATCATGCTAAGTAACTAAAAGCTCTTATGTATTAAAAAAAAACTGTGTTCCCCAGTTGGAGCCATACCCCCCTTGATGGGATGGGCGGGCTGTACCGGGGGACTGGACGCTGGCGCGCTGGTGCTGGGCGCCTTGCTCTACTCGTGGCAGTTTCCACACTTCAACGCGCTCTCTTGGAATTTGCGACCAGACTACTCGCGAGCCGGGTATCGGATGATGGCCGTCACTAATCCCGGTAATTATGCTCAAGCTATCAGGTGTGAAATGGTAGTAGACTTGAACAACGCTATCAAATTTGAGACATGAAATCTAAGTCTCAATTGTTTACTGGTGGTAGGATGTCTTGTTAGTCCGCACGAGTAGGTACCACCGCTCTGCCTATTTTAGCCGTGAAAGAGTTATACGTTTCTGTTTGAAGGGTGGGACAGCAGTTGTTCTATTAAAACCGAGACCTTAAAACTCATGTCTTGAGGTGGGTAGGACGTAAATGCCGCCTTACATCCATGTCTATGGGCTCTGGTAACCTGTAATAAAAAGTACAGTGGTAGGCAACCTTTTCAACCAAAATATAATCAATGGGCCATTTAAAATTTTAACTCATGTTTCTATAGCTGTTTCAAAAACGTTTACTCGTCTTGCAAAGCAAGATATTGCGTAATATTTCGTAGCCGATTTTGCGGAAGAAGAGCCGTAGCTAAAAAGTCAAAGAGCCGAACATGGCTGGCAAGCCGCGGGTTGCCGACCACTTATATAGAATAATGGCTGTACCACCCTGCAAACCATACCGTGTTACTGCTTTGTAGGAGTAATGTGACAAGGTGTTACTTGCCAATTGTATAAAAAGTGTTTTTATATTTTTGTTTTCTTCAAATACACGCATGCAGTTGCAGCAATGGAGTTGAAATACGAACTCTTCCATACACCCGACTGTCCATTTCTAATTTTATGCCTGTGTAAAATTTAGAATAACCTTGCAAAATAAATTCGATTTTTTTGTTAATACCCGCATTGGCTTAGGCTGTGTCGATGAATGAGTCTAGTCTGCCAGGGCAAGTTATATAATAATATGTATAGATAATGAATACTTATGTATTTTTTTAAAGTTAACTACAAACCGATGTATAATTTATCAAAACCGCAGTTCGTAAATTACGCGTTTCATGGTATAATTAACGTTGTATGTTTGTTCACAGCACTATGCCGAAGGGTTGCGCTTAGACACACAGGAATAATCACAGCAACATGCCTGGTATCACCTTATATAGGCGTGACAAACACGTGGTTCGCACTTGAATCATTACCATTGAATATTTATTTTATGTATTTAGGTTAGTATAATTAATATAATCATTGAGATTGTTTGAAATGCTACATGTTTTAAATCAGCCTTTCTCAAAGTGGGCGATAACGCCCCCTTTTGGGCGCTGCAGGCTTAAAGGGGAGAAGAAACCCAGAAAACAAAGGGTGCGTTATGTAGAGGCTTGGAAAGCGATTTGTAATTTTAAAAATTGTATTTGTAAATTTAAGTCCTCCGAGCAGACACCGACTGAGCTCTTGCTAGAGTGGTTTTTCTGTAGGTGAGAAAATTGGGGCGCTAAAAATAATTTATTCTCAAAGTGGGCAGTAGACAAAATAAGTTTGGAAACCCCTGTTTTAAACGGTAGCAATGCCTTCATTGTATTACTGTGTTGAAATTAAATGTCAATAATATATTTGTGATATATTTGTTATCATTGTTTATTAACCAAATCAATATCTAAAATCTGTTACAGCATGGCAATTCTACCAAAAATCAGACAGTGCAAGTTCGCGGAAGCTATTCAGATTTTCTCTAGTTCACCTACCAGCATTAATGTTGCTAATGCTAGTAAATAAGAAGTACTGGAGTTCGAGTGACACTCAAGAGCAGACCGACACCAAAATCCAGGACGTAGGCATATTAGACAAGAGAATTACAGTACTACCTCGAGGACCGGTCGTTGTGGCCCAAGGAAACGACAAACAGTGCTAATTATTTTACGTTATATGTAGGTAGATTTTATTTGCTGTACATAATGTACAAATGTGATCAATGTAGAAGATTGTAAGTTATCTATTACGAGATTTGAATTGTAACCTCAAAACAAGGTTTCGGAATTTCATTTAAATAACACGAAATTCCTGTATGTGTTACTGCTGTACATATATTTACTAGTAACTACTAACTAAATATTTCCTAATCTTAATTTTGGGGTTATAATACTTTTTTGTTATTTTATTTTTAATCGTGTTATTTATGATTTAAAAATAAATAAAATACACACAGATTATGAATTCTTATTTTTCTTATTCAGTTTGCTTTTTTTCGGGGAAAACAATATCGTGTGCTGTGTAAGTGGGGCACAGGTTCTTTATTTATTTAAATTTACTTAACTATTATCGTGTCACATTCTCAACTGAAAATTTATTAACAACATACATACAAAACACTCAGACCTGTTTTTTAACATTAGACGGACAAATAATGAGACGACACAATCACATACGTAATTATTATTAACAAGCCGCTGTGGCGAATGAAACCCGTTTGAATCCTTTGTATCAAAACGTTTGCTTTTTTATTTTCTGAAACAAGAATATTAAAATTAAATTATTAATAACATATTAAATAACGTGATAGGGACATGCATTTCTGTTTTATAGAAAATTATTAGATAAATATTTCAGCTTTTGACTTTTTATCAAATAAGTCGTCTGTTATTTATTACTTTCAATTTATGCATGCTACCAAATCTTATATAAAATATATCTGTTTTTAGAATACTCACTTCGCTTTCTTTGCGCTGTTGCCGTGTTCTCTGCTGTCATCGCGTGACCGTTTGTGTGATTTATGGTCACTAGAATGTTTCTTGTCTTTGTCTTTACTAGAGGACTTATGGTCACTCTTGTGGTGTCGATCATGGTGGGATGATTTGTGGTGCTTATCCCGGTTCTTGGAAGGGCTGAAATTAGGGCAATTATAAATATTATAATAATCATTGAAAAATATTATACTTTTCACTTAATCTTAGTTACATTATGTTACTATCATTTTAGGGCTATCCTGTCAGTCAATACTGTACACTAAAATTTTCTCAACTTATTGCAACCCAGGCTGAGTTTCTGGGATTTACAGATCTGAATATTTTTCAGTGATGCTTTCATACGTAGTTTTCCTTTCTCATAATTATTTTTTCTAATTTAAACAATTCAGACATACCTGCTACTGTTCTTTGAAGGGCTTTTATGACTGGAGCTTTTATGGTTTGAGCTCGAACTTTTATGATTGGAACTAGAGCTTTTGTGGTTTGAACTAGAACTTTTATGATTAGACTTGTCATGTTTGCTTTTCTTGGCGGCTCCCTCATCAGAGTCGTACGAGCGTTGTTGGTTTCGTCCTTTACGTTTCCGGTCGAAGTCATCTCGATCGAAGTTACGGTCTTTTTTGTCCTCTTCGGCAGCTTCCCGCTCTAAATCTGACCAGTCTTTACCGGATTCTTCGTCTTCCTCTGCGTACAAAGTAATTAATATGTAACATTCATACTCGTGGTCTAAAGCCAGATGTAAATGTAAATGAATAAACTATATTTTTCATTTTATTTTATTGCTTAGTTGGTTGGACGAGCTCACAGCCCACCTGGTGTTCAGTAGTTACTGGAGCCCATAGATCTACAACGTAAATGCGCCACCCACCTGGAGATATAAGTTCTAAGGTCTCAAGTATAGTTACAGCGGCTGCCCTACCCTTCAAACAGAAACGCATTTCTGCTTCACGGCGGAAATAGGCAGGGTGGTGGTACCTACCGGTGTGGACTCGCAAGAGGTCCTACCACCAGTAATAACACGCTTATGATTTGCCAGAGATTATTAATAGAAACCATAAATATAGCAAATAAAACAGCCTTTTTATTGACTTCGCAAATAAGATCACGGTAATCTCAATTCAGTCAAAGATATTGGGCAATGTTTGAATAATTGGCAACTAACTGAAAAATTATTAATTTGATTGACAATTAGTTATTCTCACCTTCACTATCACCCGAAGCGTCAGATTCATCCGACGCCTCAGAATCATAGTCAGACCCTTCAGATTCATCAGACTCAGCGTCTGTAGGCTCGTATGCTTCATCTTCATCTTCACTATCTTCCTCCTAAAATAAAATTAAGTTTTATCAGATTTGTTCTTTTGAACGGATCGAAAAAGTTCTGTCATTATCTACGCGAAATCTCATAGAAAATTAATTTCTAAAATTAGATGACCTATATCTACGTTTAGCTTCAAATAACTTTTCTTTCGAGTCCGTTGGGTTATGTGTTAAATTATTTTTTACCCAATATCAGAAGTTATATATACTATCATTCAAAAGAGGTTTCTTAGATATGCACAAAATGTATGATATTATGCAACATAATTTAACTTTTTCTTAAAAAATTTAAATAGTATTTTAAATAAATTAATAAAAGATCGTTTATAATGTTTTCTTTTTTGATATACAAACCTCTTGTTCATTTTCACCATCAGATTCTGGATCCAAAAATGACCATCCACCATTTTCGAAGAAGCCCTCAATGTCATCTGTTATAGTTTTCATAACTTTGGTCCAGTTCAACGATTGTATACCCTCCGAGTACCGGATATCACAAGAACTGAAATATAGAAAAAACATTTCTTTTTCTATACATTCTCCTTAAAAATATTCATGACAGACTGCAACCCGACCATGCTCTCCTGTGAATATTGCTAATTGTAACATCAATTTCTTGAATCTAATTGGCCACTGCGTTGATCNGAGGGCCCGCACGCGAAGGATCGCGTCTACCGTTGAGCGGCCCTCTCGGAAGCCATACTGCTCCGCCGACAGATCGGGTCCCACCCCGACTAGATGCTGGATGATGCGGGCTGCCAGAATGCGTTCCAGCAGCTTGCCCACCTCATCCAGCAACACGATGGGACGGTACCCGGCGGCAGTATCCGCCGGGCGCCCCTCCTTTCTCAACAACACGAGTCTGCCCGTCCTCCACGATGAAGGAAACCGTCCCGACTCGAGGCAGGAGTTGTAAAGTCTCAAGAGTCGGTCCCCTAGGGCACCAAGAGCCAAGGCCCAAACCCGGCCATGGACGCCATCCGGGCCGGGTGCAGTGTCCTTCGCGCACATTTTGCGAACGGCCACACGGAGCTCGGCCCCCTTTATATGGGGCACCTCAGCAGGGGCTTCGCCGTCGTAGTCCGGCGGCGCGTCCATAGCGGGAGCGACAAATCTCTCCCGCTCCTGCGGGAACAGCGCCGAGACGATGTCCCGCAGTTGCTGAGGCTGGAGACGCTCCGTGATCGGGGGGGCCCATGGGCGCATTTTATTGCGCACCATATGATAGGGCCGCCCGAACGGATAGAAAAGACCCTACACTAAACTAAATCCTATTGTTTTCTTTCCCGATTTTAAAAGCCATTGAAGACAAATGTGGATACCTATTCAAATTGTTTACAATACAGCTTAGCCGGTCGTTCTAACAGATCTAATTCTCCGAAATATTACTTAAATGTGGTCGTTTTATGAGGTATGTCGTTATTACCAATGTCGTAGAAAGCAATATTTTTAATAAGGCGGTCATATGGCATTCAGCCGGGACCTTTGTCCTTAGTTATTATAACCGGCATGTTGTATTAAACGATGTCGCAGTAAACGGTTTTGACTGTATTGTCTTACCTATTTCTGTCACATAACTCAGTTATCTATCTAAGTACTAATAATATTTTTGTATGACTACTGTGTGTGCACATTATACTCACTTCAACCATTCTTTGACATGATCCAGCATGTCCATAGGCACGGCATTAACCATGGCCACTTTCTTGGCGTAGTCCTTAAATACGAAGACCATATCGAAATTTTTGAGGTGAAATTGTACTCTCTCAAAGTGGACGAGCTCTACATCTTCTAATGCAATCACGAATGGTGGCCATTCAGTAAGATTGACAAGGGCTCCGGAGGTAGGCTGCAGTAAAACTGTACTCCGATATGGAGCTCCAGGGAAACCAAGCTCTCTGTGAAAGAAAAATGATGTATTTTTATTAGATTACATTACATTACTTTTATTACATTAAGCTGAAAGGTTATCAAATAATTTATAAAATATTGCAAAACTCAAGCTCTTTTCCTTTTTATTCGCTCATAGCCTAAGGGGCTATTCGAACTACGCGCACACGGATAGGTTAGCTCACGGACTCAACAGAGAGAATTTGCTAACACTAGGCCTAGCCAAAGCAGTGCTTCACAAAATCTACCACCGATTCGGAATTCCGACCTGCCGAGAGGATCCGGCGAGGAATTCAGCCTGCTGATGTATGGGTTAGGAATATTTTGTATAAAACATAGTATAAGCAACGAATACCCTGTTTAAGTAGTTTTGGAATTTTGGTATTTTGTTTTAATCATATATGAGGCCGTCCGCGCAAAAGTGGCCTAAGCTTATCATAGTTAGTATGGAGATAATGAGGTTTGAATTTACTTTTACACTGCTTCGTAAGCAATAATAACACGCGCAAAAATAATGTTTACAAAGCCATCTGCTATCTATGGGTGAAACTATGGGTAGGCCGGTTTTCCATTAAAATTTGTTATGTTCTAAACAATTTGCAATATCATCATCATTATCCTGCCCTTCTCCCAGTTACCTGGGGTCGGCGCAACATGTTTTCTCCTTCCATACTCTTCTATCATATACCACTTCTTTGCTCACTTCCCTCTTACCCATATCGTCTTTCACGCAATCCATCCGTTTCTTCTTAGGTCTACCTCTTCCACCATTCCCTTCCACATTCATAGTTAACATTTTCTTACCAACCTCATTTTCATTTCGTCTCATCACATGTCCATACCATCCCAAACGCGCACAATAATTTACAATATATAATCATGAATAAGAAAAATTGTGGGTTAGGCCACTTTTGCGCTGATGGCCTCACATGGTATACATTAGTAGAAAGTGTATATTAATAATGACCTGAAAGGTGTATCGAACTCGACTTCCTGCTTGGTCATGTTCTCGACTCGTTCACAGAAGCTCTTGAAGGCCACCTTCAGTTTGTGTCTCAGCTCGCGTTCGCTCTGCTCGGCGGCGAGGTCGTCGCGGTCGTGCATGTGTTGATGCTTCCCTAAGTCCGTGGTTATCTCACCGACTTCGGTGTAAAATTGCACGTCCACATGCTTTTTTTTACCTGGATAAGTAATTACAATATAATTACAATGATTGCACTGTATTTTAGCATTGTACACACTTGGCTTTACGTCTAAGGTTTTTTTGCATATCAGTTAATGAGTCGGGCTTTTTTATTTCTTGATTCACATGATGTTAATAAGTGGAGCCTATAAACATTACAACGTCAATACCGCCACACCCCTACTTTGAGACATGAAGTCAATATCTCATTCAAATTATATGACATTGGTCCCACCCTTCAAACAAGAACACATAACTGCTTCGCAGTAGAAATAGTCACGATGTTGGTACCTACCCGTATTGCTGTACAATATTCTCTGCTACAAGTAATTAAGCAAGCTTATACACTATATAAGTATATTTTTTTATTTTGTAATTAATTTCATAAATAGGAAATACGTACTTGTGTTAAGTACGTATGTATTTCCTTAGAACAAATTGTAACTGCACCATTAAATTTGAAGATCAGCCGTCATATTGATTGACAAGAGTTTACAGGCACCATATTATTTATGCCTCGAGGACCTCGACAAGCCCCCCCCCCATACACATGTTCGTCAAACTATTTTAAAAAGTCAAAAATGTTTCCGAATTCACAGAGGGTATATTTGTAGTCACCGTGGCCTAAAGGATAAGACGTCCGGTGCATTCGTATCTAGCGATGCAACGGTGTTCGAATCCCGCAGGTGAGTACCAATTTTTCTACTGAAATATGTACATGAAGGAATAACATCGTGTAATAAAAATCAAACCCCCAAAATTATAATTTGCGTAATTACTGGTGGTAGGACCTCTTGTGAGTCCGCACGGGTAGGTACCATCGCCTTGCCTATTTCTGCCGTGAAGCAGTAATGCGTTCAGTTTGAAGGATGGGGCAGCCGTTGTAACTATAACGATAACTTGGAACTTATATCTCAAGGTGGGTGGTTATATATGACATAGCTAATTCACCAATAGTCACTAATTTCTAATATACACAATGAACTTACCAAACATAATGGCATGTTTCAAATGGAAATGTAAAAGTATAATCATTTCTCCATCACAAGGCTGGAAGAATGCATTCTTTATATTATTGTACAAAATATCCACTTTATCGCCTCGTACCGATGTGAATCTAAAGCCGTTTGTGTGAGCTTCTAATGAACCACTCATTCTCTTCGTAACAATATTGGGACGTATGTACAAATCTTTTAACTTAGGATTTCCTTTATTCTGTGATAATATTAACGTGTCCTGTTTCACCAAATCTTCTTTTTCACGTTCTTCTGCTTCTCTGGTTTTGAATTTTTTCTGTACTTCTTTAATAAGTCTAAATCCAGTGTTCAGGTTTGACGAAGGCGGCGATATTTCACCAGGTTCTTTTGTGTTTGTACTTCGGTATGTACTGTAATGTTTTTATAAATGCTTTTTGTAAATGCTTACTGTCTTTTATGTAATGTTACAAAATGCTGTGGTCTTAAAACTATTCGGTTTATCGATTTTTGATATACTTTCCAAACTATCTTGTTTGATGTTTTAACATTCATCGCTTAGAATCACACAGTATTTATATTTTGAGACATATCGAGATCAAGCTTTTAAGCAAGTGAGTTTCTACAGCATCCATGCATTTTGGATTCAAGGGTATCTCAAGCCGTTATACAATGTAATGGAGACTTTTACCTTGAGTCTCATGATATGGTATTCATGTTGTGATGTCTGTGGGCTTCAGCAACCACTTAACATTGGGTGGGCCGTGAGGCCATGCCAAAAAAGGTTCCTGTTGTTTATGGCCTATAGGCTCAAGAGTCATACTCACACTTCCTTAACGAAGGTGGCGTCTGGTTGAGAGTAATTCCCGCCTTCATTCCTGCCCATAGTGGCGCCGGGGTGGAAAAAGTTAATTCTAAGGTACGTGTAATCGCCTTCCACTGACTGCGAGATGTTCTTAATTGTAGATATATGGAATGGTACTGGGACACCGAATATTGGCAGGATTACTGTTTCGTATTTACGATCTGAAATTGACAAAAAGGTTAATAAATTTTGACACCAAATTCCATAATTAACTATGCCTATGATTAAAATTCAGATTTGTAGGAAAAGTCGTATTTTATACGAATGTTAAGCCTGTAAGGGGATCTTTTTGAACATAATTGAAATTAAATGTAACCATAACTTTGTTCAAGTAATACAATCATTTCTTTTTTTAGGGTATTCACACACCATAAACACTAAGTCAATGACATTCTTAATAAATCATAATTCAAAGAATCGAAAAAATTACCATGGTTATAGCATCAGAGAAATACATAAAAATTGACAATACTTACCGACATATAATTTTAATTCTTTAACTTCATTCTCACGTGGCATCTGACTAATACTCTTGTATGAAACGGTGCTTTTCCTTAGTTTTTCTGTATCTTTGCCGGTCGACTGTTTGGCTAATCTTTCTTTGGCCTTTTCATTCAAGGATATAGCGAGTTCACGCTGATGCTCCTTACGTTTTTCCTCAGATGAGTGCTCTGTTCTCAATTTCGATTCAATCACTGCAGTCCTTTTGCCTCTACCTGAAAATTTAGCATTGTTTAGTGCTTAGAACTTCACTTTGATATCAAAGTTTACTCATGCAATTGTTTAAAATTGGTGTTTATTGCAGGCTTTTAAGCATTCCCATTTGTGATTTACAAACGTGCATTGATAGTATAAAATGAATTATTATTTATAGGAAGTCTTGGGATACCTGATTTAAGCAATAGTAAGAACCCACTTTACCAGAAAGCACAACTACTTCATTATAAAGTTTTAATTATGCTGGTTATTCCCTTCAACACAGTATATAGTATACTGCTCATTTATTATAACTAAAGAAAACGATGTGTGTTTTTACTAAGAACTGTGGATTACATTTGTTATTCTTACAATGAAATGTCTAAAACACCATACCATACAAAGTACCAACGTTTTTGTTAGTTTAAATAAGCAACAGTCCAAACGCAAGCACTTAGCATTACTCATATTACACAATAAACTCACCTCCATTTTCTATTATTCGTCCACGTTATCATGTAAGTAAACGAAATTATATAAGTAAAACAGCCCCAACAACACAGAAAAAAACACATTATAAATCCTTAATATCTACACAATTCAAAACTTAATTTCAAACTTCACAAATATTTGTATTAGATTTATTGGAAAATTAAATCTAGTAAATGTTTGTTGAGTTTTGAAATTGAATTTTCAATTGATTTTGAGTAAATAGGAATTTTTGAAGTGTGTCAAAGTATTTTTTTGTTAAAATAACAATTTGTACAATAAACTGTATGTCTGATCTCACTTTGTAAAAATAAAAAAATATATTTTCTAACTTATCTAACAATACAACCTGATTGAAATAAACTATGCATCTCACCGGAATGTGACTTTCAATCAAATCATTGTGCGACATTGAAAATTTTATATTAGTCATTGAAGATGCGTCCAGTTGAATATTGTAAAACGAAAATTATTAACAAGATATCTAATCATAAAATTATTTTTAACTGAGAATCAGAACTTGCAATAAGACTNATTCTAACTTATCTAACAATACAACCTGATTGAAATAAACTATGCATCTCACCGGAATGTGACTTTCAATCAAATCATTGTGCGACATTGAAAATTTTATATTAGTCATTGAAGATGCGTCCAGTTGAATATTGTAAAACGAAAATTATTAACAAGATATCTAATCATAAAATTATTTTTAACTGAGAATCAGAACTTGCAATAAGACTTTCATTTTAACAATGTCTAGATTAAATTGCTATCATATTGCTTGTATTGTACAAGTGTCAACATAGGACATGAATGCAAGCTTATAGACTCATTGCCATAGGAAATTTTTTAACCAATTAATTATTATATCCACATCTTGTGTATGAATAATATCTTGTAAAAATAATAGTTTATTCAACAACAATGTAGCCTAGTGCTTGTCATAAGTCATAAACTCCAGATTAATTTTATATGATAGAGCTATGTCTGTTTTTCTATTGAACTACCTTACAGGATTTTCATAGTCCGTAAGTTAAAAAAAAACGAAGACTCCCAGTTCTATGGCATTGTTGGTGTTATAAGAATAACACATAACATGGTATACGGGAAAATAGCATGGTATAGCCTGTCAGCATCCCACAAAACACACATTGATATCAACCAAGTCCTATTGTAGTTTTATCTACCTTTTTGGTCACCTGGTCGTCTGCCTTCGTAGGCAATAACAAAAAGAATAGGCCTTATTAGTCAAAAAGTTATACTATTTAATGAAAATTGAGATAGAGATGATCAATGCAAACTAAAACACTATGCAACCGATATAAGAACAAGATTGACACTTGTAAAAGCTTTTAAATCTTTATTTACATAATCGCCAGGTACTATATATTTTGTCTTTCTGTAGATCATTACTTACAATATTTAACAACTTAAAGTCAATTTGAGACAATCTTATCTTTTCTTATTTTAATCACATAGCACAAAATTTGCAGGTTAGCAAATACTCACCGAGTATTTCAGCCTTGTTTTCTTTCTCCTCTTCTTCTTCTTCATCATCATCTTTCAAGAATATTCCTATATTTTTTACTTTTTTCTTAGACTGTGTTAGTAGAGACGCTGGCTGCTCTTCGTTAACTAATACTGTGTCACCAATGAAGAGCGCGTATGTCTGTAAGTAAATTGTAGTAATTCACCAGATTGAAAGTCATAGTAGAGGTTATTTCGAAAGCTGCTATACCAAAGTGGGACTGGACTGGGAAGGTATATTAGTAGTATGGCTGAGACTTTGATGAAACTATCCTGTTTTAATAGACCCAGTGTTTAATACAGTCATCATATCTGGAGAGGGTAGGGTGGCTTTTGCCTTGTAGTGGAACATAGCTGTAATAAATAAATTTAATTCAAGATTTTGCGACACCAATGCTTCTTGACACTGAAGAAAGGACTAAATTTTGTTTAAACTTACAATAATAAAGAAACAACTACTTGTATTAAGTATCAGATTTAAAAATGTTAATTTGTCAACACACTGGTACCACAACAAAATATTTTGATACACTACCTTCCCCTCCTTATCTGAGGCATTACTGTTTGTTAAGTTCGCCAAGCCAATGTTTATGTTGAAGACCATTCCTTTTTTCGCGGTAACATTTGTTTTAGGTCCAATAATAATGGAACTTTCACGAAATTCTATACCCATAGCGAATCTGCAAAGCATAAAGCAAACCAGAATATAACAATTAAGTAACATACATATACACCAAAAGCAATGGATGTTTTTGGTACTAACGATTAAAACATATTGATTTATATAATAAAACTATTACCCAAAACTCTTAGTGAGATTTTCAACTAAGTTAGGTTTCTCTTTCTTGGCTAATGCTAGACCAGCTTCATAAACTGTAGATAATTTCGCTCCAGCTACAAGACTCTTCATCACCTCTTCTTCTATATTTAACAAGAAATTGTAATTACTTTGTACTTCATCAGTTGGGTTGACCAGCAATGTACGGACTATGTTCGAACAATATGATTTGTATCTAGCACCTAGTGAACATACTATGGCGCCAAAGTGTAAGTGGTTCTTATCAGACACTGCACTGAATTTCAAACTATAGTGTCCGCCTGACTGTATAATAGGAGGATAACACATGTCAACTTGACTTGTATCGACTCCTGTTACATATTTCTTATCTGAAACTGCTGTTTCCACACCTTCAGCAAGTTTTGAATGTTTGACTTTCTGAAAAGTCAATTTTTGTTATTAAAAGTATATTAATTTAAAATATTTTGATTAGAATTGATCACTTATTTGAATGTCTAACACGTACCTTATCTGAATCAATAATTTCCATTATCTGATCTTTTAAGTATTTTGTGAAGACATCCACTGTGACCAGACATGCTTTTTTTATTGTAATAATTTCAGAGTCTTCTTTTGGCGCCATTAATAATGCAATCGCTGAACTGACATCGACATTTTCAAACTTCTCTCCCTTCAGAACTGCTTTCCAACTTTCACAGAATTCACCTGGATAATTGTCTTTCACGAAAATACCCAGTGTCTTGCCTGATTTTGATTTCTTTATTTCTTGGAGAAGTTTGTTGAAGTTTTCCTTGTCTTTGTCATTCTATAGAAAAAAAATTACAATCGCATGAATCATCATTGTACAAGCTCTTGATACACAATCAGTTGGAAAAATTGGTATCTGCCACAAAATTTGAAACCTGGCAGCCGCTTAATGAGAGTTTGACGCTGAATTGTGATACAAAATATATAGCTGACTAACGTTAGGTCATAGAAACTTTGTTTGTTTTAGAAAGTGCACAAATGGACTTACTCTGTCTCTAATAAGAAGTTTTGCTGGGGGCAATTCAGTTTCATCTTTACCATTTTCTATTTGTCTCAGGAATTCAATCTTCTTCTTACTGGCTAAAAAGCACATGCTATGCTCTGTTAAGACAGTGATTGTGTCAGGTAACTCATATCCAAACAGCCATGTCTAGAAAAAACAAAACAATAAGTTTAATAAATATCATAAACACAAAGAGTTTTGGTTATAAATTAATAAATAATAAAATAAATTAAATCGATGCCTCCAATGAACACTACTCTCAATTCAAAATTTTGAAATTTTCGTTTTTCACGCAAATTGCTTCACTATTTTAAAAGTATTACAATTAATCATTATTGATGGGGTTCGAAGCAAGAGTAAATCAGCTAGCTACACAAAAAACCATAAAGCAATAATAAAGATTTTATCAACTTTTTTCGTTTAAACGCTTCTCCTGTAAATCTACGAATTTGGAGTTAGCGTAGTGTTCATTGGAGGCATCGAAATGTTTTAAGACAGCACTGCATTCTAGCTCATTGACATATTGCAGGTACTGCTTATTGACTCAAGTAAAAAAAAAGGTTGCATTAAATCCTGAAAAAGGTTAATTTTTAAAGCAAAATGCTCCTTAGCTTATTACAACAGAGACCAAATTAGTTTTGAAGTAAGCATAGTTCTAAAGAGAACTGACAAAATATAATCAACAATCAGTGTGTCATTGTTATACTACTTATCTGAGTGTCAGAAATCTTAAAAGTTTTTGTTTTTGAATTGATTTTGATATTATAGGTTAAGTAGTATTAAAAGTTTATATTACAATGCATACAGAAATCATAGGATTTTTTTTTTTCACTAAGATTCAAGAAAAATTTATACTCTGTAAAGAAAGAAGTTCATTCTGATACAGGAGTTTATGCACTTAACAATATGGATGCCATCATCCTTCTTGATGTAATTGGAAAATCAATTCTATTGTATAATAGATGTCCCACTATTTACATCAGAATGAATGATTGCCTCAAATAGGCAGAATAGTGGTACTTACCGACAGAGGCTCACAATATCCTATAAATATTTTTTTATATTAATCTTGAGATTAAGAGAGAGAAAGAGAGAGACACTTGACTAATTATATCTGACTAATTAATCAAAAGACACCACCTCAGGCTAATACTATTACCTCAAGCATCCTCATCTACACATAATAGTAGTAATCCAAGATTTTTCCTAATTGAACCATTTGCTTCATATACATGAAACATAAACCAACCATACCAACCAACCAACCATAATGTGTCATTTGACAGGAAATAATATCTAAGCTGAATAAAGTGATTACTGAAATGTCTGTCACTCATTTCACTCATTGTAATATATACAACCAAGCCACTGACAATACCCAAAGACTCTTTCCAGACCTTATACAAAAACAAATAAATTTTCTACAAGAGTATAATTTATAAGTATTAAAATGAAATTAAAAACGGGAGAAACTTTTAGATGATGACGGTTGAATATACAATATTATGTTGTAAAAGGTCAATTGTCATTAACATGTGTAGTAAACCTTTGGGTTCAATTAGAACCAAGAGCAAAAATTATTAGGTAGTGGGACAATTATTTAAATTGGACACTAGAACCTTCTTGAACCACACTAGTTGTTGACGGAATGCAGGTAAGGAAGTTAGAGTAGGCCTGGCCTATGCAATCAAATAGACAAAATTTTGATACCTTTTGTAAATACTAGGCAATTATTTTCAATAATATTAATTTTATATTATTACTTTTTTATTATTATTATATTGATATCATACTTAAATTTATAATTTTTTTTGAATTGATGTCTTATTTTTTTATATTTTTTAATTGGAATTACCATAATACTGTTATAAAATAACTTGATTTTATTAAACAAATGATTAATTAAAGTCTGAAGGAAATTTCCCAGCATAGTCACCATGACTTCTTCCATCCATAAAGTATAGTGCAAAAGTTCAAGTATAAATACATAAAGACAATAATTACTACGATAAATAATATTATTTTTGAATAATAAAATATAATGTAGTGGTTTTAACGAAAAAATGCGCGTACCTGAAGTGATGTTGATTTGCTGTAGAGTGTCTCTTCATCTACTCCTACACACGACACTAAGCAATCCACCTTTGACAGGGCATCATCACTCTTAGGATCTGAAGCAACAGCCTGTAAAACGCATTAATGAGGCACATGGACACAAAATAATAAAAGTACCTATTGGTAAACGGAAAACAGTCATTGACCAACCTTCCAGGTCGCATACAGCTTTTTCATGCGACGATAAAACGTCTCTTTGTCCAATGATATATTAGACATTGTGAAAAATATTTAAACATAAACTGTAACTAATAAGCAACGTTTTTAAGCCGCAAAGTACAAATAATCACGACTCCACGACATAACACTCTTTTGACAGAAAACACAAATGGCGGGCTAGCCATAGATTATACACTTAATGGGCTAGCATTAGCTAGTGTTGGGTTTCTGCTACATAGATAAAGTCTAATAAGCTTGTTCCAGAGCAGCTAGAGATACTCTAATCTCTGTTTAAAAGTGTGACATTTTCTTTTCTTTTATTTAAAGGATTTCTGGTGGCTCAGAAGCCTATGTAGCTTCACTTGGACAGGTAGAAAAATTCAAGCGCTCAGCTAGGAGGAAAAGACTTGTTAGCAGCGGCCTGAGCGCTACGGCGGAGACTTAAGAGCTCAAGGAGCAACAAGGGTTAGCTGATGTGGGGTTTTTTTTTTTTTCCTACCTAAGCTGATTGCCTTAGCGGCTATGTCAGCGTAACCCTAACTTTAGTAGGTGAGCTCACGGGGCTCAAACCTGGTGACGTTGCTAACACGAACCCTAGCAAGAGCCGTGCTTCGCAGAATCTACCACCGGATCGGAAACGCGACCCACTGAGAAGATCCGGCGAGAAACTCAGTGGGCTGTGTCTGGGAGTTAATTTACTCGTCGAGCCCTTCGTCGCAAGCGACGGGTTCGACGAGAACGGTGACCGGTGCTTGAAGTACCTAAAAGCACCGTTAGTGGATCAGGAGGATCCGAGATGACGTGTTTAGGGCGACGTCGACTGCTTTCCATTCTGTCCGCAGGATCGGGAATGTAGTTACCGGCGGCCACGATGAGAGGGTTCTCGTGTCGTGCCGCTTTATCGAAGTGGCGCATGGACGCCGACTGAAGATACTTACTGATGGACTCTAAGTCCAGGTCGTCATGGAGGTCGACGTTCCTGACGAACCACGGGGCTCCGACGGCTATCCTGCAAAAACGGGATTGAATAATTTGAAATGATTTTAAGTGTATGCGGGCCGCGTGAGCGAACACTACACTTGCATAGGTCATGACGGGGCGTATGCAAGTTTTGTAGAGTGTCACCTTATTTCTAAGGGACATTTTACTTCTCCTACATATCATCGGGTAGAGACGTCCTAGAATGAAGGCGGCACGGTCGCGTACCGTCTTGATGTGGAGGCGGAATGTCATCCTACTGTCGGGGGTGACGCCTAAATATTTGACCTTCGGGGCCCACGGTATGGGCTGGTCGAACATCGTGATTGGGCGAATGGCGGGGGCGGAGGTGTTGACGCGCCTAGTCGGGAGGGGGATGCTCAGCGTGGTGTTCGGAGGGCGACCCTTTTTGAAGAGCACCGCTGTGCTTTTCGTGGGGTTGATGTCGATGCGCCACTTCCGGAACCACTGTCCCATGGTGGTAGCTGCGGTCTGAAGTCGTCGATGAAGCAACGCCTTCTTCCTACACGAGTAGTAGATGGCGGTGTCATCGGCGAAGAGCGCCAGATGGGTTTCCGGAGACCGGGGTATATCATTGATATATAAACTAAATAGTAACGGGGAAAGGCCTTGCTTGAATCCGGCTGTGACGTGACGGGGCCGGGAACGCGTTCCCTCGACTCGATATCGGAACGAGATGTGGGGTGGCTGGGTGATACCGATATATTAGTATTCACTAAGATATTCGTAATACAGCTTGTATTCGTATATCGGTAATCCGGCGGATTCTGATATGCTAATATTCCGTATTCACATTAATCATAATATTGTATTTATCACTCGAAAATATACTGGCATACGCCGTAGGTACGTGTCTCACGGATATCTGTTAATCACATTCATATCAATACTGCATGCGCTAAGAGTAAGTGAGATAACTTGCATGTTTATATACTAAGCAATGAAAATAAGTACATATCACTATGAGTTTAAGGACTATTTTGTATTGCACTTTTTACATGTCCAATATGCTAGTGGGAATTTTCAAATGCATTACTTTTTAATGTTAATGAACCTTCATTTCTTCAACTAAGGATTCTACTCAAGACAAAGTAGTGCATTTTTACATTTATTGGAATAAAATCGGTGAGCTTTATTTTCATTATTTGAATTCTTCATTTATTTTCTGTTTCCTTCGAATTGGTTGGTTATAAAACAATGATTTTAAAAACGGAAGTATGTAGTTGTCATTAGTTGTCATAATTTTCAAGTTTATGGTAGTTTTCCAATTACAGCATTAGGGCGCATTATGCGGCATAATCATATGAGGCATAATGCTCAACGTTGAATGTTCCAACTACAGCAACGCTTCGCAGTTCGCACAATCGAGCACTGTCAAAAGCATAGATTATACACTTAATATATTTGTCAAAAGTACTGCTCTCGCGTGATACTCGCAATCGATACCGACTCAGTGACAGAAAATTGACAAGTATTTTTTCTTTAAGTTGGCATTGATCGAAATTTTGTTTAAATTATCGTTAGTAATATTATTTAATGTTGAAAAAAATTGTAAGGCTTTCGTTTCGTCGTAGTTTCTTAGAAATAATCAATGTTAATTAAAACTGTGCTAACTTAGCGCTCTCTGCTGATGCATTTGAAAACTAATTCACGTTCCAATTAAGCTTCAGCATAATTCGGCTTTGGCGTCACTGAGTCGCATTATGCTCTGTAATTGGAAAACTACCATTGTCAGTTGAATAAATCGCATTATAAAAGCAAGCATACTTTTTAGTAAATTTAAGCATTGTTTTTTAAGTAATTTAATGTATACTATTTAACTGTATACACAATACCGTCTTTACCATAAGGGCACACAGAGCCCGTGCCCAGGGCCTCCATTCTCAGGGAGCCCCGAAGGACCGACAATTTCTCTCACACATTTATTCTCAAAATATTTTTGTCGGGCATATTACACTTTTTTCACAAATCACTAATCTTATCAGAAGGTATTTACAAGGCATATACTACGCCATTATATCGATGACTGCGCCTATTCCTACTGTACTAATTAATAATATTTCCGAACGCATCTTACCTAATTTACTAAGTACACCATCTAGCGATCACGATAACGGTTTCCGTTATCGTAATCGTAACCAAAAACCAGCAGCATTCTAATATCATTAATGACATAATAATATTATATCATACTGTATTTGATTACCTATAATAAATGGTCATACCCAGTAAAAAAAATGTTATTATAATTCGCTTTTTTTACTTTCCAAAAGGGCCCCAAATTCTTGTGTGCCCAAGGGCCCCAGCCTAATTGAAGACGTCCCTGTGTATACATAATTAATGAAATGAAGTTATGCATGGTAAAAGTGATTAAAGCACTGAGAGCTTCTTACTCCGAAAACACCCGTGTTTACAGTAGAAAAATGGCGACGATTCATTCGACGTCATACATTTCACTAGAATAATGCGACTATATACAGTCAGTCCAACGGAACGAATTCCTCTCTTGCTCCCAGTTTAAATCGGAACATAGGCTTCACTGTAATCCAGTACACTTGACTCTATGTAAAACTGCGATATTCATACTATTTCCACTTCATACACTAGCGCTATTTCGGTGGGTCTTCGAATAATAGCTTGTCGTTTACAGGTGGACACTTTTCGACTTATCCCCTATACAAAGTGTTCCTTGTCTCTACCCTGCATAATTAAAGAGCGTAGGATATACTAGACTAGAAATTTCTATAAAATTTTGGACAAGAGACCCCTTTTTCAAAATGAACTGGGTTCCTTCCTGGGAACCTTCTGAGTTATCAGTTCATTTTTTGGGCCAAATTACTTTTAAAATGACATCTTTAGTTTTTTCCTATTCAAAAAGCAAAACGTAGGTATAACTGTTTCATGGCGGAAATTGCAAAGTGGTATTTACCAGTACGGGTATTATAGACGTCCTGCCAAATGTAATTACGTTGAACCTATGGAGTTGCCGTGTTACAATTGTTTACGTATAGCTGGCAATAAATCCTAAATTCAAATAATACGGACGATTTTCTCGAAATCAACTCATTCGCTCTCCCCTGCTACACGAGAACGGAAGGAAAGGTTGGAAGTTTTGTGTTTTCCCACGTACTCACTAGACCTTGCTCCGACAGACTTTTATTTTTCCAAAGTTTGGTATGGAAAAAACGAGTCGGTACAAAATGCCTTTGAAGTTTCTAGGCTCCTGTACTCTTAACTTATTCAAGGGCATTTAAAAATTACCACTGAGCTAGCAGAGATGCATCGATACCATGCATATTTTGATTGTTAAAAATAAAATATTTAAAAAAAACTAACTTTTTGTATCCTAGACGCCTACTTCATATTATGTGTATACCTATTATTTTGGTGACTTTTATTTTTATTACGCGACTTTCATAGTGGATGTCATTCGTGAATGTGCATTTCATTTGAAAAAATGTTCCCTGCCTGCGGGGTTTGAACACCCCCGCACAGTCGCATCTCTCGATTTGAGTGCACCGCGCGTCTTTTCCTTTAGGGCACGACGACTTCGAAGTAATGATATACTAGAAAGGCAGTAAATAAAGAAGGAACTTTAACCAGGAATCTCTAAACCATTTTTAGAATTATTTTTATTAGATCATATAAATCATATAATATGATGAGTAACGTGGGCTTACAAATTTTGAAACTTAATTTATCACAATCTTATCCCTGGTGTTAAGTGGTTACTGGAGCCCATAGACATCTACAACGTTAATGCACCACCCACTTTGAGATATAAGTTCTAAGGTCTCAAGTATAGTTTCAACGGCTGCCCCACACTTCAAGCCGAAACGCATTACTGCTTCACGGCAAAAATAGGCAGGGTGGTGGTACCTACCCGCGCGGACTCACAAGATGTCCCACCACCGGTAATTACGCAAATTATAATTCTGCGGGTTTGATTTTTATTACACGATGTTTTCCTTCACCATGGAAGTCAATCGTGAACATTTGTCGAGTACGTAGTGCATTACAAAAATTGGTATCTGCCTGAGATTCGAATACCGGTGCATCGCTCAACACGAATGCACCGGACGTCTTATCCCTTAGGCCACGACGACTTCGACGCGCATGATAAATTTTTAATCGTAAGTGTTTAATTTACGATGCGATTCCACTACTACTTTCTACACACTATCTTTCTTAACACGTTGACTGCCATCAGTAGGTCACCGGTACCCTACGTGGCGCACTGAAATAATTATATCGATTTCTGTTACTACTACTGTACTTTACTACTATTCTTTATTTGTTAATGTTTATTTTAGTATTTACAGTTTCTTAGAAATAGATTCACTGTCAGTATCTTCGGATTCGTCTTTCCCAGAGCCTACTAGACATTCCGACAATTTAGTTGACGAAGCGTGTTGCGGATAATAATATGTTTAAAAAAAGTGTTATTTCATTATTGCGAAAAATAAAGATTTAGTAAAGAAGTTCGAAGAGAGAAATCGACATAATTACTTCAGTGCGCCACGTAGGGCACCGGTGACATATACGGCAGTCAATGTGTTAAGCGAGCGACCCACCCTTGATTCTATTCACCCTAGCTGAAAATTACAACTGGCAGATTTTACGAATACAAAAAAAAACGCATGTATGTTTTTTGTAAGTTGTTTATTTTATGTTTTTACGTGACTCCAGACTCGCCCACACATAAAATACAATGACGGTTTTCATAGCCACTATCGATAGAGTGTAATACTGTTACTTTTATACCCGAGTTGTTTTCATTGTCATTTTCTTTTATTCTTTCCAGTTCAAGCACTAATGTAGGTATGTGTTGCCAGTACCTTCCTAAGCAACGGTACCGTTTTTCTGTAAAAGAGTCCTTGTACGCAGTGGAATTTTCTTCATCTAAAAATAAATGCCATTATGGGACTGCGTTGTGAAATAGTCAAAAATGTATAAATAATACATTTTTTATGGTTGTTGTACACTTTGCTTTCAAATGAATGGAAACTTATTTTAATTTAAACATCTCGCACTACAGTACTTCTTAGCCGACCTTCTGAACCTATTCAGTCTGTGACGGTGACAAGCCATAAGTATCAAGACGTTGCACCACTGCACCGCACTATACTCGCGATCAATTCTGCTTGTTGTATCTCCAATACAATAAAGTTTAAAAAAACGCCCACACTAACCTTCCACATCTGTTAAATCCTGGTCCACCCATCTTGTTTGCATGTTTATACAGATTATTCCTATATTCAGCTGTTTGCATATAAACCGACTATAATTCACAAACGAATTTAATAATGATAAACCTACAAAAAAGAAAACGTAATTTGAATTGCTATCACTTTTTAAATTTGGTTACGGAAACCTGACATCCGTGATTACGAAGTTTTGTTTTTTTAATGTTTTGTTTTGTAATGAGTTAGAGAATCGTTATAGTAATGACATAGGCGCTACTGTGTGCTTAATGCGAGTTTTTTATCTCCTCGATAGCGTAAAAGTTAACTCAAATTTGTATGGAGTTGGAACAGCGCCCCGAGCGACAAACTCAGGAACACTGCTATCTAATAACGATCTATAGCGCTAACGTACCTACAGCGCCCAATTTCTTTCATTTCGTTATCGTGAACTTTATACTGTTGCAATGAAGATGAAAATGATTACCAAATGCGTAGGATGTAGGCTTAACTTCTGTAATATCTGAGATTAATTATGCAGATTTATGTAATATAGAGAAGTTACCAATATTTTGTTTTGTTAAAATTATGTAGAACGAATACGTTAGAGTACGGGTTATAGATTCTGCGAAGCACTGCTCTTGCTCGGTCCAGTGTTAGCAACACTCCCGGTTTGAGCCCCGTGAGCTCACCTACTAGTTCCGTGAATCTTAGAATAACCCCTCAAGGTTACTAGAATAGGTAGGATAAAAAAAAGCAAAGCTATATTTTTTAAGACATTCCTGTATAATACTATATATACTAGTAAGTATAGTACCAGTGGTAGGACGTGTTGTGAGTTACCGGAAGCTACCACCACCCTGCCTATATCTGCAGTGAAGCAGTAATGCGGTGTCTATTGCTTCCGGTACTAACCACCCAACACCAGGTGGGTCACGAGCTTGTCCACCCACCCAAGCAATAAAATAATAATAGTGCACATACATGTATCCTCTAATTGATTGAAGGAAATAATGAAATCGTTGAATGATTATATGTATTAGTAAAATTTACATTGAAATACCTAGTTTATTATCTTCACCAAGATATTGAAACATCAGGGAAGGTAAAGAGTCTATGACCAGCAACATCAAATTATCTATTACTAATTCTCCATTCTTCAGGTTTTTAAACAAGTTCACCAGTTCTTCCATTGTCCAAATATAGCTTATGTGAATTCTATTCATTATGGCTGCAACTTCCTGCAAAATATGTAAAATGCATATGAAAAAAAGATCTGTATGACTACAGCTAGTACATGTCTAATTAATAAAATATTCATGTAATATTATCTTACTTGGTACATTTTAAATGTATCTTTGGTGTTTTAGATATCATGATATCTATTATTGTAATTTATTGAACAATTTACAGTTAGCTGACAATCTCGTTATCCGCCTCATTGTCTCATTGTCCAAGATAATTAAATAAATAATTTACAAACCTTAAAAGAGTATTGACATTTTTCTAATATCTTTTGAATTCTAAGAGCTGAGAAATCCCCTTTGGTGTCAATATACAACACTGTTTTGTGAGTCTCTTTTGCACAATTAATAGCTATTTGTAGGGCTAACTGTGTTTTACCTGAGCCTGCTATTCCACATAATTCTGTAATCGTCTTAGCTGGGATTCCTCTATTGAGCATATTATCTAAACTGAAACAAAAATTTGAGATATATTTAACGTTTATTTATAAAAATGACAAGACTGCCATGAAAACTAAAAAAAATTGTACTTATTAAAACTTTCCGTCATACTTGCTTCTAACATAAATTGAGTCTCGAAAATTGATGATTGCATTAGGTAGATGAAATACACTCTTGCGTCATTTAATTAGGTCCATTTAATGGAGTTTGTAGACAACACAACATGTATACCACTACCCACCTCGAGACACTATACTCCATTCCTACTGACTTGTGAGGTTTTTTATTGTTATATGATTGTCATTACTGCTCATTCCATGGTCATGGCATTCTGTATTCATATCAAACCATAACTTATAATTACATTGCAAAGTTACAGAAATGGGCAGGATTATGATAATTGCCCATGCAGGTTGACAATATGCCTTACCATAAGTAGAAGCAAGTTTATTAATTTTTTCTCTACTCATAATACAATATTTGGACTAGTCTAAAAGCCAACGAGAGGCAAGTACTGTTCCTAGCTAAAGCTTAATTATAAAAATAACGAAAGTTTTAATCTGTCTGTAAACAAATTTTAATTTATTATACCTCAGTGGTTTCTTTCATTTATGCATATAAAAATATATTGTAAACGAAAGAACGTAATATGGACATGGGTTTGACACAAACTTACTTCTTTACTCCGGACTTAATACTAATTGTGCCTTTTCGGATTTTATCGATAAAACAGCTACCGTTAATCACCGGCGCAGAAAACTGCGTTAATATTTGATTCCTTGCTTCCAAAATTTGTGGTATGCTTAGTTTGCATATGTTTGCTAATTTTTCAACATCTTCTTGAAGAAAATCTAATATTGTGATAATACGGCTTTGAAATAGCATTTTTATTACAGGGTCAGTTAAAGCAGTGCCTTCTACATGTGTTAATTTTTGCATTTTAATTAACACGCAGTCTCATGAAAGTCTTATTGCATCGGAGACGGTTGTCATTAAATTTAAAGTTCTATTTAATAAAATATAAAGGTATTTAATATAATTTAATATAAGATATTTAATAAAATATTATAAATATAAACAGTTCTTATTTTAAAATTAACACATTGACAGTTTTGACACCGCATTCCCGCCGAAAAGCCTGATCATAGGTTATAAACTTTTTTTTAAGGGATTTTATGACTTGGTAACTAAGACTTTCAGGTCAAGTCTTATTTATTTTTTATGAAAACTACACTATCACTTTTTTATACATGAAAAATGATAATTTATGAAGTGAAATGAAATGAGGTTGATTAATATAAAGCATGGCATGGTATGAAATGAAATGAGATGAGATGAGATGATATGAGATCTAAGTAAAATGGTGGTTATTTACGGAGACTTTTTCAGTGGACTTTTTGGAGGATCTTGAGAAGTTACATCCAGTGGCTTTGTTTTATTTTCTCACATTTGTGTACTTTCACAGATACTAAACAGTTAGTAATATACCGCTATTATACATTTAAACCTGAAGAAACACCGAATATACAAATAAAACAAATCACACAACTTTACTCCTCGCGCTCCTGCCAAAAAGTCTGATTATACATTTAATATTAGCCTTAACTTATAAATGACATGAGCTTCATTCATAATTTATTTTGTTTTTTTTTTAGATTTGATGGCCTGGATAAACGAGACTTTTAACCAAGCCTCAAATTTTCTTCATAGATTATATTATATTATGAATACTAATACATATATGGAGTGAAATAAGATGAAATTCATTAATGTTAAACTTTGGTCATCTGGAATGATAATAAACAAAACGAGATGAAAATGAAGTGTCAGTAATATGGTAGTTATTAACTGAAAATTTTACAGTTAACCTCTGTGAAAGTGCACAAGTGTGGAAAATGGCATGGATTTTGACATATCTTTTTCCGTTCTTTCAACAAACAAATTTCGACTTTCGACCTTTCAACAAATTCCCATAATTTTATTGATATTTTATGTTAATACTTACGGTGTTTTGCCCCTTTTAAATTCAATATAATTTGATTTAATTTTTTTCCTTATTCGTTCCGTTTCACTTTTTCTACAACAGATATAGCTTTTTTTACATAAAAATTGGTGGTATGAGTTGATTCCCTTTGATTATCCAATGTATGAATTAAACTCTTTGCTTTCTAGTTCGTGCTGGATTCTTATAAATAAAGTGTATTATTTATCTATGTCGTGATTGGAAGCGCGCCTGTCAGGCGAAGCGCATGTTGCTGTGATGGCTCTTTTTCACAATTTTGTAAATTCTTCATTTTTATGATAACAACGTGTTCAGTGTCCTTTCTGGTGTAAAATAATTTTAATTTGTATTTATGCGTTTACTTAAAATGGCCAATCAATCTCAGAAAATCGTTTACAAGCTGGTTCTTACTGGAGGTGAGTGAATTATTACAGCTACCTAGGCATTTACGTCACTGTTTTGCAGTAAAATAGCGTTTAATTTAATATTATTTGATAACTTGTGGTGTGAATGTAACTGGTAATTAAATTTCATTCAGTTAATATTACTTAAAACACGTGGAGTTAATTTGGTTATTTGAGTACGCTGTGTTCATAGGACCCTGCGGCGGCAAAACAACGGGACAATCACGTTTAAGTACCTTCTTCGAGAACCTAGGATGGAAGGTGAGCATCCTACATTTATATAAATTGAGTTTTAATTTTGTGCTTTGAAAATCTATTATTACGTTATTTTGATCGTAAAATGTACATGAAAGAATTGATAAAGCCAAAACCTAAGAAAATCTCTTGTCCTCACAATGATTTGTAATTTATATAAAATTGCTGTTTGGTTTCTCCTCTTGGAGATCCAGTAAGACATGGTTCCACATTGTGTTTATTTCCAGGTGTTCCGGGTGCCGGAAACGGCTACCGTCCTTCTCAGGTACGAAGTGTTACCTACAAAATGACATAGTATATGTCACTTTATAAGGATTTTTTGCCGATTTTATTTTATTTTTTAAAATTTTATCACAATAAAATATAAATATTTTTTTTTACCAAGTTTATAGAAGTTAGCATTTTATTAAAATAATCACACTATATTCTAATTATGAATTGCAAATTGTTCTAATGGTTCCATTAAATTCACTTAAAACATGATTTACTCGTTTAGATTAATTTTATTGACTCAACTATATAAATAAATTTATATGTTGATATTAATTTAATAAATGCAATAAAATTTGAAATACGAAGCTTTAGATAAATTTATTAATTGGCAATTAACAGTAAAATGATACAGAAGTGGTAACCTTTCGTTTTCTTTACAGCGGAGGCATAAAGTTTGCAGACCTCAGTTCTGAAGAAGGTGAGTGGGAACAAAATTATTTAATTATATTTTACAGTAGTTTTTTAGGCTTAGTTCTAAGACATCCAAGTGTTAAGTGTTTACTGAAATCCACAGTATACTTGAAAAATTAAGATTAAATTTTGGCTCAAGTTAATATAAATTAAACTATATACTTTTGGTGCAGTTTATAAATATATGTTAAATTCTTAACTAATCCCATCATATATTTTGTTTATTATAAAACCTGCTATGACAAGAATAGTAGTTTTCACCAAGCTGTCAGCACATTAGTTTAAGTTGGCAAGATAAAAACTGTGTTTTCACATGCTAATATTTATTTATTATTTTCATATTGGCTAACTCTTGCCAATTGTGATTTTTACATCTTACATGTTTCAAAGGCCATATGATGAATAATGACAGTAATAATATACACTATTATGTAATTTCATCTGTTTGCAGAAATATTATGATACAAATATAGTTAAAATGCATGCAACGCAAAAGTCTGCTTTCAACTCAAACAAAAGAGACCGTGTAGTTGGTTACCCAGCATTAATAGAAAATAAGCCTGATAAAAAAAAAAACTGTTCAGTCTGCACCAGTAGTTTACTAATAACCTAGGTCAGAGGTTACTTCTAGACAAACTATCGAAACTATTTTGTCGATGATCATGCCCTCAGTCCTTCAAAGTACATACATTTTATAATAATGTATATTAAACTAAACTGTACTGAACTTTAACCAATAAATAAATATTTACTAGACTTATACTATTAGCATAATTTGAAAATAATATGATTTCAATATTTCGATTTAAAAGTTTTACATTATATAAATATGTGAGTTAATTTTGTTAGTTAATTATTCACATATTAATTATTTTGTTGATCAGAGAAGTAAATATTGTATGTTTTTTTTATTGTTGTAAAACTTGTTCTTTTCAAAAATGATTTCCATACTGAATTTGAATAATTTTTAAGGAGAGGATTTCTGGCTGGCTCTAGAAATGCGGCTTAAATTGAGTGCTTTTTGTTTCAAAACATGCCGTCAAAGTAACGTAATTCGCATCGAGAATATCTGTCCCTTCCACCATAGGACGCCGAATGATTTCGTTGTTACTAAGACTACAAGGACACTACGGTAGAAATCTGCTTTTTCAGAACCGCGAAGTCTTACCTGCAAGGCACCTCGCTAGGTCAGCAATGCGTCAATCAACGCCCGTCGGAAAGCTTACTTAACCTTATGAAATAAAATAACTATTTTTTTAAACCTGTACGAAACAAAGACGGGCTAGAGATTTTGCATAAAAACGAGATTTAAAAAAAACCACTCAATATCCGTAATGACAAAGGGGTCTTCCGGGTTTTTCACATTGTCGCGCTAAAACTGCGTTTTCAATTGGATGAATGAAACCAATTAAAATGCATCATATTTGGGATGTAGAGTAGTTGTTGTTAGCATGTTTATTTTTTTCGCGGTACAAACGTAAATTGACCTCGATATCATCCAGTTGACAATACAATGTGCAATTTGAAAAGGGAATCTTTTGTTCGTTTAAGCATCTTAATCATCTTAGAATTAGTTATTATTATTATCCGAAGACGTAAATGCATCTGACGTTTAGCACGTGAGGTAGGTCGAGTGTGCATATTGCCAACACCTTAATTGCAATTTTATTTTGGGCAAAGAAAAAATTCCATTGTTCATATTATGTCATAGTAAAAATGAGCTAATTTGAGCATAATATAATAAAATTATGGTTTTACTAAAATAAAAAAAAAAAACATCGGGGATTACTTGATAATGTCAAAGTATTTTCTTATCAAAACGCGCCGTCTCACTGTTTGCTAACTCCGTATTGTCCAATTGACAGCTGATTACATTATCTCAAAAATAATCGCGTTAATATAAACAAAACACGTGCTCGGAATTGCCGAATTTATAAACATAGATAACCTCTTGAATAAAAAAGATCCCAGATTGATTAAATTTCAGTGGGTAGAAGTACAATTCGAGGAGAGAAATTATTTAACGTCTGCCATTCCATTTTTAAAATAAGGTTTATATGTTTTTCTTGTGTGTACTTTATCGTGTTGTGTAGACGCGTCATCGATGAGGCTGCCAAAACGCTCAGAGCAGTGTTATTAAGTCCATTATAAAACTCCCTGACGTATTTGTATGCTCATTAAAAATTTAAAACCCATTTGATAGTATTGATTATGTAACGCTGCTACGTATTTGATTGCGGTCACGTATTTATTTTATTTGAGTCGTCTATTATCAAAGGCGGCAATCTGTGCATTTGGACAAAAAAAAATTATTGATATGTCAATACAGATTTATTTGAATATAATCGTCTCCTTCAAAGAATACGGTTCAAAACCTGCATTAAATAAAGGTTAATAGTTATCCTGTTATTTATCTAAGATGTCGTTCCGAAGAGTTTTGTGACTGCCAATGGAATACAAAGTCAATAATTCGTTTTTCTGATTTACCAATCATTGTCGCTAAAAGTCAGATTGCCGCCTTTGATAATAGTCGACTCATTTGAAGTAAAGTATTGTTATTGTTTATTGTCTATTATTAACGCTTATCGGCAGTATTTCGTTGTTTTGCCATATTTGTAATATTCGAATTGTTCTTTGTTTACGGCTAGTCTATACTAATATATAAATCTACAGTGGTTTTAATGGATGTTCCGTTATAACTGCTGAACCATGCATCCGATTGACTTGAAACTTGGTATCCATGTAGAAAATACATGTACTTAATGAATAGGCTAATATTTATACGAGTGTTGGACTCTCTACACCAGTTGGGAGGGTGTTAATGATGAGAATCTTTGTGGGGATGAGAAATAAGAATGCTAATTTTAAACGCCCAGCGAAGCGGGCCGGTACAGCTATATAGTCTTTTATAATACGGCATTTGTGTTATTATGAAAATTAGTTGCAGGACTTAATTCATTATCTAACTCAAACATAATACATAAAAATAGCTCTTAACAAGATACATGAGGTACATGTGCGAGATAATATGGGGCTTCATTTTTCCTAACACGTGGCTCGTTGTGTATATTATTGGCTCAGAATATTGTTCACGGTCACGTTCACGGCTCAACAGATATTTAACCTTTTGACGTACTATATCGTTTTACGAAATCCTTACAAATTCATTTCAAAATATAACTTATCAACGTTTTAAGTGACGTAAATCTAGAGGGCCTCTTTATTCGTTAAATAATACGTATGTGTATGCGAGTGTACGTATTTCAGATACATAATACACTGATATGAATCTACATACAATTGAAGTTTTATCTGTAGAACTGAACGTAATATCAATAATAATCTTAAACTTCCCAAATTTATTCGTATTTTAGGTCACTAAATGAATTTTTTTACTGATATTACTGTCCAGTCACATATGAGACCGCGACTTAGCTACGTACTATTAAAATCTAAGCTACTTATAACTTTGTCTAATCGATTATAAATAACGGTAAAATGAACAGAAACCACATTAAAGGATATCGTATTATTAAGGACATTCAACCGAGTAGAGGTTTTTCAGGTCGTTACCTCGCCCTAGATCAACTGCAAAATCAAGTGACTCGATTATAAACTACTTTTACGGTTATTTTATCGGTATATCCGATAAACTGTCTTGAAAAACGATAAGTGTACCTATAGGTAGGCGCAATTGAAACTCCGTAATTGCGAACCGTTATCCGGAAATCGACACTTTAGAATCATTCCAATTTTAAATTTGATTACTGGGAGTATTGTCCCAGCTCTTCCTGGAAGTCCGCCAGTCGCTTCTGGTTTGAACTCGGTGACCCGGTTTGTGAAGCCCGGCATATGTGGCTTCGTTGATGTAGACGACTAGCATACGGGTGGCTTCTTTTTTTTTCCTACCTAAGCTGATGGTCTAGGGACCATATCAGCGTCACCGTGCTAGTAGGTGAGCTCCCGGGGCTCAAACTTGGCGTTGTTGCTAACACTGGCCCTAGCAAGAAACGCGACCCACTGAGAAGATCCGGCGAGAAACTCGCCGAGCCTTTCGTCACCACCAATTTAGCACTTACCTAGTTTCTTTCTAGTGACCATTTCTGTACCTCTACTGAACTCCTTCTTGCTGGTGGCAAATTTAAAGACAAAAACGTAATTTTATATTTAAAAAGAAACTGTTAACAGCTAAAACAGGCTACCTGCCTGTTCAATAATAGAAAACAAAATACGGATACTAAAGTTATTTTCACTTAACAATATGTCGACGTGATGTTCGATGTTCATCTTTTGTGTCAAAGGAGAAACCCCATTCTGGGCCTAAACGTTACACGAATGGGATATGTACCAAAAATTCGTCTATTTTGGTTGATTAACCTATTGAAATCTTAGCTTCATTGTCAATGGCCAAGTATAGAAAATAAGTCGAGTTCAATTTTTTGTTTTAAACAATCTTTGTAAACATCTGCAACACTTATTTCAATATACGTAACTAGCTCCACAAACGGGCGGATTAGAATTAGAGCATCCCTAAAATAGGATCGATTTAGTGGAAATCGAGTGTAAAAAATAGTTAATACTCTTTTGCTTTAGGATAAATGACTGTTTTTATAGGTATTTTAATAAATGTAAATAGAGTATGGCCATCGAATCGTGACACAACTACTTACAATGGCGGCAATTCAAAATATCTACAACTGACAACATTAAACATAGCATGAAAGGGTAGTTTTGCATTTTTATATGAATGTGACTATGCCATAGAAAAACAAAAATGTATCAAATATATGTTATCAAATATATGTTTTAAGTTATCTTTAATGTTGCCAACTGAAGATATTTTGGATTGCCGCTATTTAGTTGTGCCATGATTCGCCAGACTATAAACTTAATCTCATTGAATAACGTAACGTAAAGCACCAAAATCTACTAACAAAAATCATTAAAAGAAATAAATAACTGTGCCATTTAGTTATGACACGAAATCATGTCGGCAACTGCGACAATTCAAAATATTTTCAACTGGCAATCTTAAATATAACATGAAAAAGTCGATTTGGTACTTTGAGTTTTTCTATGGTGTAGTTACATTAATAATTTTACTGGTGGTACGATCTCTTGTGAGTCCGCGCCTCCCGCCCGCCTATTTCTGCCGTAAAGCAGTAATGCGTTTCGGTTTGAAGGGCGGGACAGCCGTTGTAACTATACTGAGACCTTAGAACTTATATCTCAAGGTGGGTGGCGTATTTACGTCGTAGATGTCTATGGACTCCAGTAACCACTTAACATCAGGTGGGCTGTGAGCTCGTCCACCCATCTAAGCAATAAAAAATAAAAATATAAAAGGCATGAAATAAAATGAAATGAAATGTGATGAGATAATATGGGAGCACGTAATGATTTATATTTTATATAAAAAAGTTATCATATAAATATAGTTTTTCATATAAAAAAGTTTTCATTAAAATTAAAATAAGACTGACCTAAAGGTCTTAGTTACCAGGTCATAAAATCCCTTAAAAAAATCATTTCGTGCGCAGCGCGTTTCNCGCAGTACTTTTCGATGGGTTGATGTCTATGCGCCATTTTCGGAACCACTGTCCTAGGGCTAGGGCTGCGCTCTGAAGCTTCTTCGCGATTAGGGACTTATTTCTACTAGAATAGTAAACAGTCGTGTCGTCGGCGAATAAAGCTAAATGGGTCGGCGGCGACCGGGGAATATCGTTGACGAATAAGCTAAATAGGAGGGGAGCTGCGTCCTGTGCCGAACACAGGGTCACCCCGCAAATTACCGCGGATGCCCCCGAGCCCCGAAAATAAATCGCCGTGTCGCCCGCCAAAACCGTCTCCGAGCTTCCTGTCCAGACATCAAAGCCTCGGCACCCTCTGTGTCGCAGGCTAAGCCAGCGTTCGTTCCGGCGCCGGTGCCCAGTGTCTCGGCCTGGGCGAAACCGCTGCCTTACACGAACACGGCTAGAACTCCCTCCTCCGTGATTCGTCCCACCCCCGCGACTCGTCCCTCTCCCGCGACTTGCCCTCCGACGGCGTCCGAAAATCTCGCTTTAGCGATCGACTTATTTCAGTCGATCAACTTTGAGCGCGTTTACGCTTTGGGCGACGCTATTCGCGCTGCCTCCACTGCACACCACTTTATCGCCGTTGTGCAGGAATACGCCGACGTATACGCGTCATTAAATACGTACGTCCTCCCCTCACTCCGTCGGTAATCAAAGGCGTATATAAGTAGAATAAAGCCCCTATCCGTAACGATAGGATTTTTTAACGCTTACGGTCTCGCAAATCAACGTGATCAGGTTTCTAACTTTTTGTGTGACCATCAAATTGATATATTTTTAGTGCAAGAGACCCTACTTAAGTCCGCGCGCCGTGACCCTAAAATTGCGAACTATAACATGGTCAGGAACGACAGGCTCTCTGCTCGTGGTGGTGGTACCGTCATTTACTATAGAAGAGCCCTGCATTGCGTCCCGCTCGATCCTCCCGCGCTCGCTAATATCGAATCATCAGTGTGACGAATCTCACTGACGGGACACGCGCCGATCGTTATCGCGTCCGTTTATCTTCCACCGGACAAGATCGTTGTAAGCAGTGATATCGAGGCGCTGCTCGGCATGGGGAGCTCTGTCATTCCGGCGGGCGACCTAAATTGTAAACACGTCAGGTGGAACTCTCACACTACAACCCCGAATGGCAGGCGGCTTGACGCGTTAGTCAATGATCTCGCCTTCGATATCGTCGCTCCGCTAACCCCGACTCACTACCCGCTAAATATCGCGCATCGCTCGGATATACTCGACATAGCGTTATTAAAAAACGTAACTCTGCGTTTACATTCGATCGAAGTAGTTTCAGAGTTAGATTCAGACCACCGTCCCGTCGTTATGAAGCTCGGTCGCGCTCCCGATTCCGTTCCTGTCACGAGGACTGTGGTGGATTGGCACACGCTGGGCATCAGCCTGGCTAAATCTGATCCACCATCGCTCCCATTTAGCCCGGACTCTACCCCGTCTCCTCAGGATACCGCTGAAGCCATAGACATCTTAACGTCACACATCACCTTGACATTAGATAGGTCATCGCAACAAGTTGTAGCGGAGGACTTCCTTTACCGCTTCAAATTGCCCGACGATATTAGGGAACACCTTAGAGCTAAGAACGCCTTGATACGCGCCTACGACAGGTATCCTACCGCGGAAAATCGTATTCGAATGCGTGCCCTACAACGCGACGTAAAGTCTCGCATCGTCGAAGTCCAATATGTCCGTCCGTCTAATATCTTAGAAGAACTCATGTCCTCACAACGGTCTTACTATGGCTTTGCTCGTACTCTCAAATCGGATATGGTAGTAACTATGCCTCCCCTCGTAAGGCCCTCAGGCCGACTCACGGCTTACAATAACGACCAACAAGCAGAGCTGCTGGCCGATACATTGCAAACCCAGTTCACGCCCAGCACTCAATCCGTGGACCCTGTTCATGTAGAATTAGTAGACAATGAGGTAGAACGCAGAGCCTCCATGCCGCCCTCGGATGCGTTACCACCCGTCACCCCGATGGAAGTTAAAGACTTGATCAAAGATCCAAGTTTTTTTTTTTTTTTTTTTTCTTTTTTTTTTTTTTGTTATTGCTTAGATGGATGGACGAGCTCACAGCCCACCTGGTGTTAAGTGGTTACTGGAGCCCATAGACATCTATAACGTAAATACGCCACCCACCTCGAGATATAAGTTTTAAGATCTCAGTATAGTTACAACGGCTACCCCACCCTTCGATCCGAAACGCATTACTGCTTTACAGCGGAAATAGGCGGGGTGGTGGTACCTACCCGTGCGGACTCCCAAGAGGTCCTACCACCAGTGATTACGCAAATTATAATTTTGCTGGTTTCATTTTTATTACACGATGTTATTCCTTCACCGTGGAAGTCAATCGTGAACATTTGTTGAGTACGTATTTCATTAGAAAAATTGGTACCCGCCTGCGGGAGGCAAGGCTCCCGGTTCCGACGGTATATCCAACCGCGTTATTAAACTTCTACCCGTCCAACTCATCGTGATGTTGGCATTTATTTTCAATGCTGCTATGGCAAACTGTATCTTTCCCGCGGTGTGGAAAGAAACGGACGTTATCGGCATACATAAACCCGGTAAACCAAAAAATCATCCTACGAGCTACCGCCTGATTAGCCTCCTCATGTCTCTAGGCAAACTGTATGAGCGTCTGCTCTACAAACGCCTCAGAGACTTCGTCTCATCCAAGGGCATTCTCATCGATGAACAATTCGGATTTCGTACAAATCACTCATGCGTTCAACAGGTGCACCGCCTCACGGAGCACATTCTTGTGGGGCTTAATCGACTAAAACCATTATACACGGGAGCTCTCTTCTTCGACGTCGCAAAAGCGTTCGACAAAGTTTGGCACAACGGTTTGATTTTCAAACTATTCAACATGGGTGTGCCGGATAGTTTCGTGCTCATCATAAGGGACTTCTTGTCGAACCGTTCTTTTCGATATCGAGTCGAGGGAACCCGCTCCTCCTCACGACCTCTCACAGCTGGAGACCCGCAAGGCTCTGTCCTCTCACCCCTCCTATTTAGCTTATTCGTCAACGATATTCCCTGGTCGCCGCCGACCCATTTAGCTTTATTCGCCGACGACACGACTGTTTACTATTCCAGTAGAAACAAGTCCCTAATCGCGAAGAAGCTTCAGAGCGCAGCCCTAGCCCTAGGACATTGGTTCCGAAAATGGCGTATAGACATCAACCCAGCGGAAAGTACTGCGGTGCTATTTCAGAGGGGAAGCTCCACACGGATTTCCTCCCGGATTAGGAGGAGGAATCTCACACCCCCGATT